CAGTTCACCATCGGTTCTCTTGAAGCCTTTGAAAACCTTTTGATCCGGACTCAGGACGAACTCGAAATTCCTCCTTCTGAAAGAATACCTGTCTCCTATCGAGAGGAAATCTCCACATTCCAAACGATCATGCACTTTGCTCCGACGTTGATGATTGCTGGTCTGCTTCTCTGGATGGCTAGAAGAGGCGGAGGAGCGATGGGTGGCGGTGGTCCCGGAGGCGGAATTTTCGGTGTCGGCAAGAGTAGGGCCAAGATGTTCAACAAGGATGAGGAGGTCACTGTGAGGTTTAGGGATGTTGCTGGTATGGATGAGGCCAAGGAGGTGAGTCGCTCGTTTGCCTTACGATCTTGACCTGACATTGCGCAGGAAATTATGGAATTCGTGAAATTCCTCAAGGAGCCCCAAAAGTATGAAAAGCTCGGTGCCAAGATCCCTCGTGGTGCCATCCTCTCTGGTCCTCCTGGTACCGGTAAGACCCTTCTCGCCAAGGCTACCGCCGGTGAAGCCGGTGTCCCCTTCCTTTCCGTCTCTGGTTCTGAATTTGTCGAAATGTTTGTCGGTGTCGGTCCTTCCCGAGTGCGTGACTTGTTTGCCAACGCAAAGAAGAATGCCCCCTGTATCATCTTTGTCGATGAAATCGACGCTATCGGTAAATCCCGTGGTAAGGGTGGCAACTTTGGCGGTAACGATGAGCGAGAATCGACCTTGAACCAGCTGCTGGTTGAGATGGACGGTTTCGGCACAAATGAGCACGTCGTGGTGTTGGCTGGTACCAACAGAGCCGATGTCCTCGATTCGGCCCTCATGCGACCTGGTCGATTCGACAGACATATCGCGATCGACCGTCCCGATATCGGAGGTCGTCGACACATCTTTGGTGTCCACCTCAAACCCATCACCCTCGAACCCGGACTCCCCGCTGAGCGTATCGCCGAGAAGCTCGCTCTCCTCACCCCTGGTTTCTCTGGTGCCGACATTGCCAACGTCTGTAACGAGGCTGCTCTCCGAGCTGCCCGTCATGGTGGCGAGTTTGTCACTGAAGCAGACTTTGACGGTGCAATCGAGCGAGTCATTGCCGGTCTTGAGCGCAAGTCTCGAGTGCTTGGCAAGGAGGAGAAGAAGACTGTCGCCTACCACGAAGCTGGTCACGCCGTCTGCGGATGGTACCTCGAGCACGCCGATCCTCTGTTGAAGGTGTCCATCATTCCCCGAGGTGTGGGTGCTTTGGGTTACGCCCAGTACCTTCCCAAGGAGAGATTCCTCTTCACCACCGAGCAGCTCATTGACCGGATGGCCATGACTCTTGGTGGTCGAGTGTCTGAGGAAATCTTCTTTGACAAGATCACCACTGGTGCCCAGGACGATCTGCAAAAGATTACCAAGATGGCGTTTGAAATTTGTGCCAACTATGGTATGGACTCTGCTATCGGGCCTATCTCTTACGGCGGGCGCGAGCAGCAGGGCGAGGGATTCCAGAAGCCCTTCAGCGAGGCCACGGCGGAAGCGCTGGATAGGGCGGTGAAGAAGCTTGTGATGGATGCGCACACCAAGACGACGCAGTTGTTGACGGAACACAAGGCGGATGTGGAGAAGGTGGCGCAGTTGTTGTTGCAGAAGGAAGTGATTACGAGAGAGGACATGAGATTGACGCTTGGCCCTAGACCTTTGTGAGTGCTTCATATGTTTTACGGGTTTCAAGCTGACGAGACGATAGCGCCAACAAGGATGAGATGGATGATCTGATAGAGCGTGAACTGGACCGAAAGAGGAATGAGGAGTAAGTCTTGCCTCGCGATCGTCATTGCCTATGACTAACAATTCTCCAGACCCAAGAGCGAGAGCGGCCCTACACCCCAGTTGGCCTTCAAGCCCACCAAGATCGACTGAATAATAAATTCATTCTAGACTGGGAATGGCTGCCTGTTCCGCTGTAGCTTTTGCCCCTTCTCAACTCATTTGCGTCAAGATAGTCTGATCATATGCTGCTTCGTCGCATGATCATTACAATCTCTGCAGCCTCTTGACATATATAACATGCATTGCGATAACCCGTGCAAAGGTTTGGATAGTGTGCATCGCTGACGAATGATTTGAACGCAGAAGAATGTTATGGTATCCCGGGACGTGGCTTCCCTGCAACGCGGAATGGCGAGATCGCGAACCATGGGCAATTCCAGGCACGAGATAAGGGATCTGGGTGGCGATTAGTTATCGAACCGTAAGGGTGGAGTGCGCAAGATTCAGATGACTCAAATGCAGCGAGAGAGGTGACAGGGGGCAATTCCTCATCTGCATCTCCATCTTCAAGTCCAGCTCGACCCACGGCGCGCCCGTCGCCTTCCACACCCCCGCAAACACACAGTTCCCACGACGGCATGGCCTCCCTCTTACGCTCGTTCCGCAACAGCTCTGCCTCAAATACCTCTCCGCGTTCCCCCTCGCCCCCCAGCTCTTCGCATGAGCTTTCGACAGAGCAGCGCATATCAGCAGATGCCACTCGTCCTCCGCCCTTTGCTTCGCCAGCCGGACCGCTGATACCATGGATCAGCGAGTCGCCCACTTACTCTACTCCTCAGCCTAGGTCCGCGCGATCGCGCTCGCGATCTAGGGAAGCCATACTTGGCAGCATTATAATGGCAGGCGCAACGGGATTCATTGACGAAAGCCATCCACACCTCGTTGGAAGAAGCCAGGAAGGGCCTGCTGAGCCAATGGACATCCCAGCGTCCCGTGTTCATGAGCCTTCTGCGGGGCCTTCACGGTCCATGCCCGGATGCTCCTCTAGGGTGGAAAATGTGCCAGAACAATCGCCTATTCCGACTTATGAGACAGCTTTGAGCCAGTCCCTCACTTCGCCCGTACACGATGTGGTATCCCAGCCGGTTTCCCAGTCGTGGACGGAAGATCTGAGCTGGGCGAGAGACTATTCTGTTTCCGCGAATGGAGGTCGCCAGAGGCAAGATCTCGACGACTATTTTGGACTGGCGCCAGACGAGGTGGAAGAAGAAGAAGAGTTTCCTGATCGAGGGAGAAGTGGCTATAGAAACCCTCATGGCGACTCTGCGGGAGCGACTGGAAGAGCACCGATGCCTCCTGCGTATTCACCAGAAGTCGGAAGGGACGAGCTGCAAATTGTATCTTCCGCACACCTCTCTCCCGACCACCCTGCCTCCGGCTTCTTCGACGCTATAGCTACTTCGCCAGATGGCGCTGATCCGCCGCCAGTCGTGTCGCCCGATGACCCCGGCCTGACTGTCGGTAGTAAGAAATTGAGCGTCAAGATCGAAGGTGGTAGTGCCAGGCGCTGGAATCCAAACAACACGGGACCGGTTTATATCGAAGCAGGCAGAAAGGGAAAGGTCAAAGGGACCGTGTACGTCGGCCCAGTGGATCACGCTCACAAGCTGGAAGTATCTGTAAGTCGACCCGCCGGGAAGCTACTGGAAACTCATCCCGTGTAGATTCTGGGCTTTGCCAAAACCTCATTCTATGTCAGAGGACAATTCAGCATGATCGATACGCTTCCTCTGGTCCGATCTTCTCTTACCCTATTTCCACCTGCCCGAGACTCTCAAGATGACTCGCTGAAGCGAGCAAAAGACGGCACGCTTCTCATGGAAGGAAACTCTGAGTTCCCGTTTGAGGTTGAGATGCCGAGCGGGTACTGGAGAGACCAAACCAGCGAGCTGCCTCCGACCTGCAACATCCAGCAGTCGGGGCTGCAAGCGTCGGTCGAGTATGTGATCAGGATCAAGCTCGCAAGGAAGGGTCAACTGAGAACGAACGAAGAGTGAGTGGCAGTTCCAATGTCACGAAACGGGCTGACCATATATAGAATTGGGATTCCCATTATCTATCAACCTAGATCCTACGTCCCTCCTCGCCGTCTCAGGCTACTCTCCATTGCCGACGACAGACACAATCCAGGCTGGCGAACCATCGACTTGAAGGGCGGCAATCCCGTCTGCCCGGAATCGCTCAGTGCCCCCATCTCTGCTACCCTGACTCTGCCTTCGCCTTTCATCCTGTTTATCACGCCGAACCAAAAGCTACCCACCATCCCTTTCCATATCCACTTCCATCACCCATCAGGTGGTCTGCCTCTCAAGGTCTTTTCAGACCCAAGAGAAAGCGATTGGGTGATACGATTACAAAGGCGGGTTGACGTCAAGGTTGGCGGCGAGAAGGAAGTCCGATACACCGAGCTTACTTGCAAGGTCGAGGTCTGGGAAGAGGGAGGCGAGGTGATCGATCTGAACGCTCTGAGAAACAAAAAGGCCACCGAAGGGTCAAAGCCCCGGAGACCGTCAGAGGACGCCGAATCCTCGGCTAATGCGCAATCGAAAACAGAGTCGCCGAGGAAAAAGTCGTTATCTCTCACAGACCGTCTTCGTCGTATGAGCTCGACGCCAGCGGTCGCTACTCTCTCAAGCTCTCCAACAGGTATCTCATCTATCGAGGAGCATCCTTCCGTCCCATCAGCACCTTCATCGTTTAATCACGAGGCAATGCTGGGCGACGGCGTTCAGGCGCACCTCGCTACAGACATTACCGTGCATGGCCGTCTGGATGTGCAGCTTCCGACGACTATTGCCACCTCCGACAGCATGCGAAAGATGGTACAGAGTTTCAACACACCAGACTTTACGGTGCTGTACATGATGACAGTGGGCATCCAGCCGAAGAAGGGGGCGGTCAAGGAATATTTTGGGTTCATGTATGGTAGGGCGATGGTAGAGGTTGTATGGGGGCGATGATGACGATATTCTGGGTCTTTATCTTGACGGACTTTGGTATATGATTCCGTTTTATCATCTTGTGCTTACGCTTGCCGCTACTTGCGATTCGAGATGCATGCTTTGAGAGATTGTACTCGTATCAGTGAAGCCAGTAAAGGAACTATATTGTACTGATCAGCCAACATCATCTCGCCGTCTCGCCCAGTCTCGGGCAACACCACCCAAATGCTGCCACCCCCCGCTACGGCTCGTGTACTGTCAGGAACGTGCACGTCTTGTTGCATCAACTCATGGCATGGATGTGTGTTCCTAGCAGCAAAAAGTATAGAGGCCTTTTGAAATGTGACTTTTGGCAGCAGCAAAAGAACCTTTTTTTTCAATTTCGTTATAGACATCATTTGGAGAAGAAAGAGTTTGAAAAAGTGAAAGAAAAGAGTGATGAATGTGGGGAAAGGGAGAAAAGAAGAGGCGAAATTAACAAAGCGGGATTGAGGGGTGAAAAAGGAGGAGCTATTGAGAGATGAAAACAAGCCGGTCGAGAGAAGAAGGATAGAATGGAAGATGAGGAAAACAGTAGTAGCTCTGCACAACCCATGCTACGGGACCCCATTCGCCAAAACTTCAGATCATGCCCCCCTTTTTGTCGGTTCCTACACGAGCACAAGAGTACACTAGAGTACAATATGTGCACCGTCCAAGATTGTCCCCTAGCCTCGCCATGGTCGTGACGCCCCCAAGCTAACCCAAAATTTAGTAAGTGAGAAGAAATGTGAGAAAAAAGAGCGTGAGAAACAATAGGAAGACGTGTTGATTTTTAACGCGTGTTTTTTTTTGGTTGGTTGATGGATGGAAGATATCCTCATCAAGAGATCGCCGCAGAAGATGGCACCCCAGATCTTACAAGTCCTTGCCAGGGCTCCTGATGGTCACCACACTATGCTCGGGCGAAGTCGGCACAGTCGATCCCGTTGCGCTCCTGCTCATGGCCACCCCGCCCAAAGAGTCTGTAGCAGTGCTCGCAGAGAGCGACTTGCGCATCGCGACGGAAGCTTCGGCAGAGCCCGGGACGCTGGCGTTGGTGCTGATGCCGCCGGCCGTGTCGGCTTGCATCTGGGCGATACGGTTCTCGAGCCGCTTGCCGACGGGGGTGTGGCGGAGGGGAGGGAGGAGGGGGAGGATGATCTCGAGAAGCTCGGAGCGCTGGATGGGGTCCGCGGCGAAGAGACCGGTCTGCTCAGAGGATTAGTCGTGTCCTGAATAGGCTGGACAAAGGCGTACCTGGAGGGGAAAGTTGGCGTACGAGTCCCTCAAGAGCCTGTGCACCTGGTTGGTGCCGTCAGGCTGCAAGCCAACGAGTTCATCGATAAGGGCACGCTTGTCGGCGGGATCGGCGTGGGTGATGGCCTTTTCGACGACGTTGGACGCAAACTTGTGGCAGGCGACTAGTCTGCGTGAGTATAGAACAAGAGGTAAGGCGGTGGCTTACGTTGGATGATCCTGCCCTTGAGCTGCTCGATGACCTTGTCCCTGTCCTCGGGCCTGCCCATGGTGATCACACTCTGCACCACGTAGTCTTGTCTCTCGTCAGCCCCGGTCTAGTGTTGCTATATGATACTCACTTCCAAACTGGTCTTCGGTCAAAGTCAACACACTGTGGTGCATCTCGTCCAGCAATGTCCTCTTCATATCCTCGTCCAGGTTCTCAAACGTCTTTTGCAAGACTCTGCAGCCGTACGGGTGCTTGGCGAGTTCTTCGACGTGTCCGATGAACGAGTCGGGAACGGATTGAGGCGGGCCGAGGTTGATCAGGCGCTGGACGCGAGTGAGCGGGGTATGACACGCGTTTTGAGGGACATACCTGGACAACGTGGTTGGCGTTGCTCGACTTGACGCATTCGAGAATGTGCGGCTCGAGCTCGGCCACGAGCTTTGCCCTCTGCTCGCTCAAGACATGCTCCAACGCCTTTTGCACAACCTGCGCATCTCGTCAGCCTCTTCTTCCATACGTACAGATAACGACCCACCCTGCATCCATACATCTGCATCGACAATTGCAATACATGGCCCTCCATCTTTTTCGCCAAAGCGGCCTTTTGCAGCTGATCCCCATGCTCAAACATCTTTTGCGTGACATAGTTGCCAAAGACGTCGGTCATGAGCTGGTAGGCGTTGGGGTAAATTTCGTCAAACAGCTTTTGGCGGTCGTCGGGCGAGGCAGTCTCGAGCTTTTGCTGGATGAAGCGCGAGCCGTGCTGGTCCCCGGAAAACTCGACAATATGGCCAAAGATGTCCTACCAAAGGCGTCAGTACAGCCTTGAAAAGGCAAAGGACGTACATTGAGCTCCCACTTTTTGAGCTTGTTCAACCGAAAGTCTTCGAGCAACGCACTCCTGACGACGCCAGAATCGTCATACCGCCTGCTAGACCTCGCCACATAGCCATTCGCATACCCCTGCGCGGGGGGGTAGGCAGCCAAGCCGCCATACTGCGAAGGGAGACCGTACTGCCCCGCGCCGGTCGCGTGGGAGAAGAGGGCACTCTGGAGGGCGTTCTGCCCCGGGTACTGGCCGAGGGAGGGGTTGGTGCTGTTTTGGGGGCCACGGTGGGGGCCTTGGGCATTGCGGTGGTTGGGCTGATAAAACTTTTTTCCGTCAGCCAAGTCGACGAAAAAAGAGTAAAAGTTTCACCCACGTCCTTTTTCCTCTCGCCTCCTCCGCCCTGGACATACATGCTTTGGGGATGCATCCAGAAGGGCCTCTGGTCGGGGTAGCCAAAGTAAGGGTTGTTTTGCTGCTGGTTGAGCTGAGGCCTGTACCTCTGGCCGTTCCCAGCGCCTTGCTGTCCTTGGCCTTGGTTGCGGTCCTGCTGGTTGGCATAGACCTCGCCGCCGGGGCCGGAAAACGTGTCGAAGGACAGGGGCTGGAGGGCGGGCGACATGAGCTCGACTGGGGGCGCGCCGTAGGCAAAGTTGCCCGGAGGCATTTGGGCAGGATAGGCGCTGGGGTCGACGGCGCCGTTGGCAGTGTAGTACGGGTATCCGCCCTGCTGGGGCATGTCAGAGGGGGGGAGAGGGAAGGGGGAGTTAGACGCACGGTGGGGTAGTTGTTGGGGACGGGGCTCTGGGAGTGTTGGGGCTGGTGGATGGTCGGGTAGTGGGTGTCTGCGATGTTGAGAGCGGACATGCGGGCGAGGACGTCGGGGGAGTCGTCCATGGTGGAGGCACAGTAGCTACAGTCTGGACAGTGAGCATGAAGAAGGGGAAATCAGTCCACCATCGCCACAACTACCCAGGGCCCATGCACACTAGACACGAGGGCAAAGGAGGGCCACGACCGAGGGCGCAACCACGCCACACCGATCGGCGCCAGAGCGAAATCTCGTGCGACATGCGTGGCAACTCACTGTATTAGACTCTGGCGTGCTCGCGATTAGTCAAGGGGTGGGAGAGGTCGTCTTGAGAGGCCAAAGATGCACTGTCCTCGTCAACTCCAGGCCTCGACCCCACCGCCCGCCACTCACCTATGCTGATGTCGTATAATCACAGTATGCTACTTGGGCGTATGTACACTTGGTATCCTGAGTAGAGGTAGCTTGCGTTTTATTCACAGACTGTTGAAATGCTGAACGATGAAAAAAGGTGGGTGAGCAAGGCGGACCCCTCTTCATGTCAATCCCGTTTATATCTCTTTCGCTCGAGGGTGATCCATCAGGGGGCCGGTGGGAGAGGGGCAAGGGTCCAGCCGATGTTTTGGTAGTCTGTGAGTACCGCAGTGAAGCCTGAAGCGGGGCAACGGCCCGACAATCTGTACAAGCGTAGAGGACGAGCCTTCTCACACAACATGGCATGTCACCTTGTCACGTCCTCAACCCATCACCAGCTCGTCGCGAGCAGTTCCAAGCACTAGACGCAAGCGGCCACAGAGCGGTCCTCAGCGTAGGCTACGAAAAGCCCGGGGGTAGGGGGCGGGCAGGACCGATCAAGAGAGGTAGGGACCGGGTGGTGTGTTTGATGAGGACAGCGGAGACTTACGAGTCTGACTTTGATTTCTTTTCTATACACAAGTGGGAGGGAATCAGTGGGAGGCGTAAGTAGTAGCGTTCTATGGCACCTCATCAGCTCCGAGTTTCTCTCGAGACCACGCGCAAACTCACAGTTTCTCTCAGTCTCGTGTATACGTCTGCATAGAGATGGTCAACGAATGTCAAAAGTCAGTTATCATCTCGCAACGGATGGATCTCCACTCTAGCGTCATCCAAGAACAATGGGCAGACCGCAGCGGTCGGTGCGCTCAACCCCAGGCCCTTATTGGCGGAAACGCGTTCACGCCCGAATCGCTTTTCGTTTTACCCCGCCGTCACTGCATCTCCCCATTCAGCGACTCTTTGTCTTGTCCAGGCCGGCTCAGGGTTATCCGTTTGAAGGAAGGGTTCGGTTGAATAGTCATAGCGGTAACTGAACATACGTGCACAGACCCAGTTACTTGTCCAGAAGGAGTAACTTTTCGACTTGAAGGGGTTAGTTGTTCGGGCGGTCCGAGGGGGATTTGGTTCCGCTTGACCCTGAAGTAGCTGAGGCGGAGGTTCTTTTGGATTGTTCTCTCAGAACAATAAAAAAGAGAGAGGGGAGAAGCTTTTGACTCTGCGAGATTTGAGGGTATAGGTAAGGGCTGGGGTGAGTGCCGTCGGAGACCCCATGGAGAGTCTTATCCAACGGAAGGCGAACGTAATGATGATTTCCAGTCACCACCCTTGTACCACGAACGCGACATGAGAAGCATGTATACCATGTCATCCGATACAAAGAACACCTAGCATGTAACAAATCCAATCCTGGAAAAAGTGACCTTATACCCAAGTCTAATTACCCTCCTGTCCTCCCGACACAAGCACCTCGTCAGCCTTCAACCTCTTCACCCCCTCATCCAGACCTTCATCCTCTGCGCCCCGTTTCTGCCCAATCACATGCGCCGACAGATCCTCAATCTCAAAGTGGTCCTGCGGCAGCGCCGGCAGGTCGTCCTCCTCGTCCTCATCGAAGCGTTTGGCCTCGGGCTCGGGCTCGGGAGAGCGAGGCGCAAGGTGGGGCTGGACATGCGGAGGGAGTTGGTCCAGCGCAGCTTTCGCCTGCGCCTCCATCTCTGCCGCCGACAGGCCCTGCCCATGCTCCAGCTGATGCTGCACATGCCCATTCTGGTTGTGGTTGTGCTGCCCCTCGAGACTCTCATACACATGCACCCCTTCTCCTCCATCCGCCTTGACTTCCAGCTCGGCAAGCGTCTCGGGCATCACAGCGCTGAGCGCAATGAGCGTCGGGTCGATATCGAGGTTGAGCTCGTGTTCGTGCCCTTGCTCATGCGCGTGCGAAGGGTCGGGTTGGGGGATACCGTGTGGGTTTTCACCGTGGTGTTCGTGGTGGTGATGGTGCTCCATGCCTCCGTCAAGGCCTTGCGGGAGGTCGGACGCGCCGTAGGAAGACGAAGGTCCCGCGACGGAAGGACGGTTGTGCAGCGAGTCATTGTTGGTGAGCCCGGCAGCAAGCGCTTCGCGCGCAGCCTTTTCGCGCCGTTCTTTCGTGGCTTTACCGGGTCCTCGTCGGCGGACGTGTTCGTCCCACGTACAAGTCTCGCCTCGCTTGGTGCAGGTATCGCAAACGGGCTTGGTACCATCGCACCTGCATTCTCGTCAGCACGATATCCATCAACAAAGGATGGTACATACTTGAGCTTTCTGCGCCTGCAGAAATGACAAGCTAGAGACAGTTTTCTGCCCTTGCCCCGCCCATGCTTTCCCTGATCGCTCCCGTCACCTTCACTACCTCCGTACCCTCCATTACCTCTGTCTCCACCCAAACCATCATCGCCATTCCCATGTCCATGATCATGCCCTTCATGTCCACCCTTCTCTTGCCCGCCTGAACCATTGTCGGCAGAACCCCAGCCATCCCCAGCAAGACCGTTCAAGGTGGACGGCACATCCCCAGAAGACGCATAGTAGATTCCCCGGGTAGGAAGCTGGATAGAGACGATCGACTCGGGCTCGGGCGGCTGGTCGTACACTGGTTCAGTGTACTCGGTCTTGACCTGCATGTCCCAGTATGCCTGCTGAGCTTGCCCCGGCTGCTGAGGCGGAGCTTGGTGGACGGGCGTAGGGGCCATAGGCGAGCGCGCAGGGGGTACACTGAACAGAGCCGCTTGGGCAGTGTACATCATGTTCTGAGGCGGGGGCATCGAGTTGTATTGGTAGTTTTGGGGCTGCTGGGGAGTGGACGGCGCGGGATAGGACGGAGCAGGACGCGAGAATGGTTGAGGGGCGGGACCCTGGTCTACAGGCTTGGCCATAGCCTCCACGTTCACACCAACATAGTGCCTGCTAGCAAAATCCTTGTGGAAGACCGTATCGTTCGCGTTGACGCGCGCAAAAGACGCGGCCATCTGGAGCTGCTGAGCATCGTTCTGCGCGACTTGCTCTGCAGTGGGCACGGGGTCGGCGGCCTGCTGCTGCTTCTCGGCAGCCATCTTCATGCTGAGAAGGTGCTTGAAGCGCGAAGGGGCGGGCGCCTGAGAGTATTGCTGCTGGGGAGGCATCTGTATATGGGCAAGAGACTCGTTGTAGACGCGATCTATGGGCGAAATAGGACACGTAGGTCAGCCATCCATCATCCTCGACCTATTAGACGCGTCGATACTCACTACCGTTCCATCCATCGTGATAGGAGCTCTGCATAGTATGGGGTGCAGGCAGCGACATTGCCAAAACACCTGCCGCGCTCATTTCGTGATCTGTGGGTTCCTGCTTGACAGTGACAGTGGGGTACGCTGTGCTGGGCTGGGTATATGGCTGGTTATTCCAGTAGTAGGGCTCGTTCTGCGGGGTCCAGTTGGGGGTTGTACTCATAAAGAGGAGGTGGATGGGAGCAAAAACGGGACCAAACAGTGCTTGAGATGAGATTGATCCCACCCAAGGCCGGATGTTTGCGTGGCGAAAAAAAGAAGCCGCTTTCCGACTGTGGCTTTGAGCTGGCTGCGCGTTGGATTGGGCGTGTGCAGGGGGCTGGAGGGGGCGGTGTGGGACGGGACGGATGGGTGGCGGTGTGGTGGGTGGATGGATGTGGGATGTGAAGAGTGGAGCCTGGCTGCGGGGTGAAGCGGAGAACGGTAAAAACCTGAGGCGGCGTTTGGGTGGGAATTTGGGGGCGGGTCGTCGCCACTGGTGTAACCGGCAATGCGCTTTGCTTTGGGTTGTATTTCACGCTGGCTACCGGGACAGGTAGAAGGAGGGTATAGAAGTCAAGTAGGTCGATCGCGATACGGTGAGCCAAAAACATTCAGAGCTATCCCGCCCGGTCGTTGGGTGTGGCTGTTTGCTCAATGCGCCTGTCTCCCGGTTATGTTCATGACGTCCTCAGTCTTGCATTCATGCATACACTTCCCTCTGCCACTGATCACAGCCTGCAGCATAGCGGTGATACGACTTGTAAAAGGTTCTTCCCTAATGTTCCCTTACGCTAACCCACCGCTCGGACGGTGTGTACCCAACCCTTCTCCCCTGATTGCGAGATGAGAAGACCACTGGAACACCAACAGATTGACGTGGCGCCATCCATCCCATACTTGCATCTGAATCACCATGCTCACCCTCAAACCCCGCTCCCCACGAGCGTCCCTCTCCATCCCCAGCCCCAACAACAACAACAACTCGTCCTCAAACTCGCCCCTCGCCTCGCCAGCTTCCTCCGCAGGCGGCAAATCCTTATCGTCTGGATACTTTCCTCCCGTCAACCGTCCAGCACCCAAGAGGGTGAGCAAGGATGAAGCTTTCAAAAATGTCAAGGCTATGGAAGGTCTGCTCGCGGCTTGGAACGAGTATAGGCATGCTGTCACGCTACAAGGGAAGGCTGGGAGAAAGCTGGCCGGAGCATTGAGGGATATGGTTGGGTGTATGGACAAAACCGAGGTTGCAGGTGAGTTGAAGCGCGTCCCGAAGATGTGTATCTGACATCCTGTCTAGCACAGACCATGAGACCTGCCGCAGCTATGATGGACGGTGTGGCAGACCTCACAATCAAGTTGGCCAAACGAATTGACAAAGAGTATGAGGATGCCAACGCTGATGCTTCGAAGCACTTTACTCTTTTGGCTGTAGGTCAAGTGTTGGCGCGTATCACATCACTCACAATCTGCACAGAAAGAAAGCCGAAGCCATGACGCTTACTTGGGAGCTATTGGCAAGAAGCACGATAAAGCAGAAAAGGCTTATCGCAAAGCCTCAAAGACCCTTTCAGATACCTCCAACGCCCATGCCGGTCTTCAAGCTCTCAAAGATACACTTAGCGACGATATCAACAGAGCCCACGAGTAGGTCCTGTCTGTATGCAGTGACGAGGATCTGACTAGGCCCAGAGACCACCAAGGTCTGCTGGGATCAAAGCAGGCAGTGCTCCTGCTGCGTCTAGCCTCTTCTATGGGAGTCGTGGCTACCAGCCAGTTTGCATACTTTTCGGATAGCGTTCGCAAGGCCGGGACCGTCTATCCTGATATCGAATACTGTACGTTCTTTCGCCCAACAGCAGTGCCATACTCATAGCAGGACAGTCAGAGCTTTATCCGACATTCAATGGCACTCTGCCCTCCCCCCGACGCTAGACGAGCAACACGAAGACGCCGTGCGTGCCGAGATCAGGCTCATGAAAGCCCGTGTCGCTTTGGGAGAGATGGATATCGTTGGCAAGGATGTTTGGGACGGGTCGAAAGTGACGGGTAACGTTGCGACTACGAAAGCCATTTCTGGTGAAGGGAGCAGTGTTGAGAGCAAGCCAAATGCCAAAGTCGCTTTCGAAACACCTCCAGAGAAGGCCGAAAAGGAAACAGTCCCAGCTCCCAGCGTTGAGGAGATGCCGGGCCCCCAGTCCCCGTATCGCAAACTTGCTCCTTCCGACCTCTCCAAAGCATCCTCTCCTCCCACCGCAACCCAGCAAGCACACCGTCCCGGGCTCGTATCCCACGCGTCAAGTGACAGCCAGCAGAGCGGCAGGTCTGGATCGGGGCAGGCTGCTGCCGTCATCGCACCGCTGGCCCTAGTCAGAGGTTCGGCAGAAGGCAAGGATCAGGGCGAGAAGAAGGAAAGGGGCGACATGGAGCAAACGGTGGCGAGGGCGATCTCGAGGTATTCTGACAATGATTTCAGAGGGTATCCGGACCCAAGGACGCCGCCGCCTATTTCGACCGTAAGTCGTTGTGTGATTGGTATGTCTTGGCTGACGAGTGCGCAGGAGAGCCACCCAAATAGCGCTGACCGTCCCAACCCTATCCCGTTGCCTTACTCTCCAACCCGCATGTCTGTTTCTCAAATGACCGCCGCTTTCGACCCTTCCCGCGCCGCTCGTCAAAGCCACCGCCACTCACAATCAGTCTCCAACACCTCTTCTCAGCATACACTTGCCCATGTACAAAGTCATTTGCCGCAACATCGCCATCATCCTTCGATAAGCCAGACGGCGGCGCAGGCCTATAAGGATGAGGTGTATAGGCAGGGCGAGAGGAGAGCGCAGGGTAATGAGGCGGCTGGACAGTGTGGAATGACACGGGAGGGAGTTGTCCCCAGGCAGAGCGAGAGGAGGATGCAAGAGGAAAGCGACAATGAAAGGGATCGCTTGGGCCAGTATCCTTATGAGCGGGTGTAGGTATCTTTCACTCTCGTCCCAACCATCACTCAAGCGTGTGTAGCGTTGAACGTCCCCGACAAGGCAATCGCTCCCGTCGAGTAACGATGCCGCCGACCTACTCTGAGCCCGCATTCGTATACCACCGGCCCCAGCCACCCATCTCCCACGAAGACTTTTACTATGCCTCCTCCCAATCTTTCGGGCACGGGACCCATAGAAGCCATAGAGACCGCCCGGCAATGCTTGATCCTACGCCAGTGTACGGGGAGACGTTGTATCACAGACTGCCGGAAGGGTATCCGGAGGCTGAACGGGTAGTGGAGAGAAGGCCGAGCGGGGTTATTGCGCCCAGGCCCATGCGGCCACTTGGGTCGTCTGCGGAGATGGAAGAGTACAGGGATTGAGTGTGATACTTATTGGTAGACAATATTGGGATTCAGTGAATATATGACGATTCTATGACATGAACTAGATTTTACGATTCGCTGTCTTTTTGACATGAAACGACAATATCACGATGGAAGAGAGGCGCATGACACTGTTTAGTTCCTCCGCGTATGTCAGAGAGACAAGACGATGCATGACTGGATGAAATGCTGCATGATAGCTGACATCTGAATGGCATAGTATAGTGGGCTATAAGCCGAGATGAAGCACCACATATGTAGACTCGCCTAGGTGAATCCGACGCTGAAAAGTAAACAGCCCACCGCGAAAACGTCGGCGATAAGCTTCCGCGTGCAAGTGCCACGGCGGAATTACAAGTTACGCTGCCACGGAATGAATCTCGCATTAGCGGCGAGGTCCGCCGATTCGAGGCAGGGCGACATGAATTTCGTGTCGCTGTCTCTTCTTGTTCACACATCAAAATGGCTGTCGGCAAAAACAAGAGGCTCTCAAAGGGCAAGAAGGGAATCAAGAAGAAGGTCATCGACCCCTTCACCAGGAAGGGTGAGTTACAGGAGAGGAATACCAAGGTTGGGCGCTGACTGCAGTTTGTCGAATCTTTTCACTCCTATTCCATCCCCTTCCTCAACCCGCACTACAACTCCTAATCAACAGAATGGTACGACATCAAGGCTCCTGCGTTCTTCGAAACCCGAAACGCTGGTAAGACTCTTGTCAACCGAACCCAGGGTCTCAGTGCGTATCAAATCTTCAAGTGGAGGAAAGGGTCGCTGACCCAATCGTGCAGAGAACGCCAACGACTCTTTGAAGGGCCGTGTTCTTGAGCTCTCCCTTGCCGACCTCAACAACGACCAGGAGCAGTCTTTCAGGAAGATTAAGCTCAGGGTTGAGGACGTCTCTGTCAGTCTTTTGCTTCTCTCAAGCGGGATCATCCACTGACTCTCTCTTCAGGGCAAGAACTGTCTCACCTCGTTCTACGGTATGGACTTCACCACCGACAAGCTCCGCTCTATCGTCCGAAAGTGGCAATCCCTTGTCGAGGCCAGCGTTGACGTCAAGACCACCGACGGTTACGTCCTCCGACTCTTCGCCATTGGTTTCACCAAGCGACAGTCCAACCAGGTCAAGAAGACCACCTACGCCCAGTCCTCCCAACTCAAGGAGATCCGAGGCAAGATGGTCGAGATCATGAAGCGAGAGGCTGAGGGTAGCGACTTGAAGGAGTTGGTGCAGAAGTTCGTCCCCGAGTCTATCGGTCGAGAGATTGAGAAGGCTGCCAAGGGTATCTACCCCCTCCACAACGTCTACGTCCGAAAGGCGAAGATTGTGAAGGCCCCTAAGCTCGACATGTCCAAGCTCCTTGAGACTGTCGGTGAGGCCAACGACGTGAGTTTGCTTTCATGTCGACTTGTTTAAACTGTACTGACTTTTCATCCAGGCCAACACCGGTTCCAAGGTCATCAAGAGCGGAGAATTTGTTGAGCCCGAGGTCCTTACTTCCGTTTAAGGTGGTGGGGTGCATGTATACCTATGGCTTAATCTTGTGGCGGCTGCATCTCGTGGATCATGGTTTTCATTACTCGTACTGGATTTGGACAACTGTATCATACTTGCGAGGTGTTTGGAAGACTGTATCTATCGATGGAAGACAGACTATCTGGAAACTACAACATTTCTTCATGCCGTCCGCGAAACGTTTGCTCTTTTGCAATACCTAAATATTTCGATCCACAATCTCCCCGTCGTGTGAAGACATGGACGAGAGGGATTGCAAGAAGGCGGAAGAATTGAAGAGAATGGAGAGAATGAGTCCTCCACATGTCGGACATGACCGAATCCAATGACGACCTGCTGCCTGCTTGAGGGAGCATTATAAAGATCATCGAGTACTCGCATCCCATCCCTCCCAATTCAAGATACTGTTGATGCCTTTTATCTCTCCCGCCATCTACCGATCTACTGTTCAAGCCGCCCGTACTCGCCTTCCCACTGCAACCGCCCGATCAACAGCTGGCATCACCCTCCCATTTGCTCTCTTCAGCTCGTCAGCTCCAACGAACGACATGTCCTCCCAGCCTAAAGTCCAAAAGTCTGAAGACGAGTGGCACGCTGTTCTGTCACCCGAGCAAGTGAGTATCCTCGCGACGAAATATCAGACGTAGGAAGGGTGGCGATCGGAGTGGGGTGAGTGAGGTGAGGTGGAGATCGGTGGCGATTGTGATGCGGGCCAGTAGCTGATATGGTGTCCAGTTCCGTGTATTGAGAGAGAAGGGTACTGAAAGACCCGGATCGTCTCCCTACGATCACTCATTTGACAATGGTGTCTACCGTGAGTCGTCTTGTATGAAGTATGAGTCATGAAGCTGAACTTTCGCCGCCCGGCAGACTGTGCTGGATGTGACGCCCCTCTCTATACTTCCAAGACAAAATTGTAAGTGCAATTTATCAACCCTATTTTCATATCAGCCCAATTGACCTGCCTTGAAGCCAATCGGGCTGTGGCTGGCCTGCCTTCTACGATACCGTCCCAGGGGCTGTCAATCGCCATGAAGATCGTACCCTCGGAATGACCCGTACAGAGATCACCTGTAACAACTGGTACGTGACTGATCTGAGAGTTCCACGTCAGACTAATTGTTATGCAGCGGTGGACATCTTGGTCACGTCTTCAAGGGCGAGCGCTTCGGCAACCCTATTGACGAACGGTAAGTCCTTCTTGTGGTAGCGGACGAATGTGACCTGATGACCCCCAAAGTCACTGTGTCAACGGAATCTCTCTTAATTTCAAGAAGGAGTAGGCTTCATAAGAGGTGCCAGTATCTTGGAAGTAAAAGTTAGTCGATGCACAATTCATTTTTCTACACTTCTTTCCACATCTACTCCAACAACTCCATCACCATCCCCGCTGCAATGGTTTCTCCGTTCCTTCTGACAAGAACCCTCCCCATCTCCTTGTTGTCTGCAGCCGTCTCCAACGGTATACTGGGCACCCTCCCACTACTGTTTGCCCTCAATGTCACTTCCACCATCGCCGTCATACCCTTCTGCAGCACCCTCGGCTTCTCCTTCACCACCTTGCCCTTGTCCAATATGCTTACCAGCCTGCTTATAGTCGCCGGCAAGTTCATAGAGTGATGGAAGAGTTCCACAGGCGTACCCGCGATGATGGGCGATTGGAGGTCGAATACAAGAATTTGAGCTGAGAACCTTGTGATCAGAGGGACCGGTAGGGAAGTAGGGCAGAGTACGGTGCCGATGCTGAGGTGGATGGGGTCGATGTTGGAGAGATAGAGGGTGACATTCTGGCCGGCGACAGCATAGGGTGCAGAATCTTCGTCGACCTCGATCGCTACAAGTGATTAGCTGGTTGAATATGATGAATCAACTCCAACACTTACTTCTCACATTGGCCACCTCATCACCGGGCACAGCGCGAACTCGGTCGCCAACCTGTATCACACCACTACAGAGCCGGCCCGATACAGCAACTCCAGAAGCAACAGCCGTTTGTCCTTTGAACACATTTGACACTGGAATTCTCAGAGGAATCTCGTAAGGTCTGGCAGGGACTTCTACCGTATCCAACGCGTCGATAAGAGCTGGACCAGAATACCACTCTTTCAGCGCGGGGAGGGAATTGCCGACGATATTGATGCCTTCCATTGCAGCGAGGGGGAGGAAGGTGGTTTTGGTAGCGTTGAAACCAGCCGAGAGCAAGAATGGTTTGAGAGATTCGACAATCTCGTCGTAGCGGTCCTGTGACCAATTGACCTATGTCATGTTAGAGGAGCCTCGGATGCAGCAGATTCAGACTTACGACATCCATCTTGTTGATCCCCACAATGATCTCCCTGACGCCCAAGCTCCTCACCAACCACGCATGCTCCCTTGTCTGACCGCCTCGCTCGAAACCAGCTTCAAACTCTCCCGGCGATCCATCCACCACCAGCAACGCCACATCGGCCTGTGCCGCTCCCGAGATCATGGCGGGTATGAAATCCCTATGGCCCGGTGCGTCGAGCAGCGTAAAGTTGCGGTGGGGAGTGGTGAAATGTGTGGTCGCAATGTCGATGGTGACACCTCGGTCGCGTTCATCACCGAGAGCATCCAAGCCCCAAGCGAAAGCGAAGGATGATTTACCGACTTTTTGACTGCCTCGCTCATTGGCAATCTTTTCCTTCTCTGTGAGCTCGCCAATGTCATACAGTACTCGGCCCATGAGAGTTGATTTCCCAGCGTCGACATGACCTGAGACGCATCAGTACGATCAGACAGGGACAATGTGAACACTCACCAACGACGATCAAGCTGACATTCTTCTTTCCCGACTGCTCCTCTGCCTCCTTGGCCTTTGCAATCAACTCCTCCTGCTTCAAGCTGATCACCGCCTTCTCCTTGTACTTCTCCCTCTCCCTCTCCTTCTCCGCCTCTGTCATCTCCTCACTCAGGCCCAAAGCCTCCATGTCATTCACCAGACCGTTCTTTCCTGCGCCAACTCTGGGGGTACCGCCGGTCGACCCAGGCTTACTAGAGCCCTTGCTGGAAGAAACTGTTGGAGAGTTGGGTTGTGAGGCGGCGAGTTTGGATTTGGCGTGAGTCGCTGGGAGCTGAGTGCGGGGTTTCCCGGGGAGGGACACAGACTTTGCTTGCGCTTGTTTTTGTTTCGCAACTGCATAAAATGCAAGAGTCAGCTCGACGGACCATAGCGCATTCTGGATGTGACCACAGCAAAAGTTGAAGAAGAGGAAGGAAGAAGAGTCAGTAGGTCAGAAGTCGGCATGTTGATACAACGTTACATCTTCAGATCTCCTCCTTATTTCGCTCTCGGCTTGATCCCACTCCCCACAGCCTGCTTCTTTACAGGCACAGCAGCGTCCATGTTTCCAGTCCCCGCTCTCCCCTGTCTCTTCTTCAAAACGATCTCATCCGGGCTCTCGCCGAATGCGCTTTCAAACTGCTTGACCAGCCGGGACAAGTCTGTCACCAGCGGGGCATGCAGGTTGACAGATACGGGCTCGGGTGGCAGGTGGCCGTTGACCTTTTCGTGAGGGTGGCAGGTGGTTGTGAGAATAGAAAAGAATGAAGACGGGCAGGAAGGGCTATGGACGGCCCGAGACGGGTCAGATGATGGCGGGACGCTGAATAGAGATAAGACCGCATCGTCCACAGGGACAACATCGACAGAAGGCTCATCCACGTCCATCTGATCTTCCCCATGGGCTGCCTTGGCTTCAGCAGCAGCCTTGGCGGCTTCCTCCCTCGCAATCCTCGCCGCCGCCATCTTTTGCGCCAGCTTTGACAACGGCTTCTTCTCGCCGGCTTCTGACGAAGCAGTAGGCTGGAGAGACGGAGGAGTAGCAGGTGTGGAGGGACGGCTCGGCGTTCGCGATGGCAGCGAAGATGTCGCAGAATCTGTCGCTGCCTCACGTCTCTTTTGTGCAAGGAGAGCCAACTTTGACATTGGCTTATCCTCCTGCGACGGCGTAGAAGTACCCGAGCTTGCAGGGGCAGGCGACTGCCGCCGCGAAAGCGATAAACGCTGTAGAGCGGTCAAAGGCGGATCAATGTCGCCTTTGCTTGGGGTAATGGCGGGGATGGGAAGGATAGTGCGGGGACGAGGACGAGGATTCTGACGTGGTGTCGGTTGGAGATAGGAAGGGGGAGCTTCGCCTGAGACGAAGCTCAGCAGGCGGCTCTATTTTGACATTGACATAACGCAGCGTGCCGTCCTTGGGCCCTCACAGGCCCCCATACGAATGCTGAAATCAAGAATGGAAAAGAAAACAAGATGAAGAATAGAAGGAGGAGATATGTACTAACCTTTCTTTTCTCGATCTGATCTGAGCCATGCAGCAGCCTTCTCACCATCGAACCAGTAGTGCCAGACAGAGTCCGCGATTTCACCGTCCGGTATCGGCGGCTTGACGTCTTTTAGGAGATTTTTCGCTACCGCCATGGCCTTGCTGAGGTTGGCTTCATGGACGTCAGCAGTGGCCATTGCGGCATTGTGGTGTGTCCTTACCGGCATCCTCTGCGGACATGCCTACCTCTTCCTCTTCGTCTTCAAGTTCCTCTATAGTCAAGTGAGCCAGGGGACCTGTACATCAAAGCTCAAACGTACCATCGAGGTCGAGGTTTCTGACGAATCTATGGCGCGACATTGTTTCGATAGTCCAAAAAGAGATGTGAATGAGGATAGGATCGACTCCATTCAAGTCGATCTGGAAGTGGCAAGGGTCGGCCATTGCCGCCATTACATCATGTCGTGGAAGAAGTTGAATTCATCGCGACTGATCAACTATCAAACTCATACTTTATACAGTACTCGTATACGATTTCCTCGCTATCATACACAATGGACAGCCTCCCCATTGCATTTGGCAAACAAAATCAACAACCATCTACATCGACCAAAGCCAAGAAGCCAAGGCCCAAAAAGGCCAACGGCGGGCCGTCACATCTCTCGCACCCCCAATTACCCCCAAAACCGCCCCAATCAGCTCAGGGTAGAGGAAGCAACCAGACTGAGCTCGGCCGGAGAGGAGCGGCAGGATCATCTTGGATTGCAGGCGCGGAGAAGAGAAAGGAAGAGGCGAATGGAGGTGCTGCAAGCTCCAAGGTGTGTCCCCATCCAACATGGTCCAAACGTCGATTCACAAGAATCTGTAGAGGCCACGTCAATCGAATGGGGCTGGAGCAGGACGATACGATGCCGGTCCGAAGGGGAATCATTCCAGACGAGGACAAAATATTAGGTACCTGCTCGCTGAGCACATGTTTGAAGATCCTTGGGCCAGGCTTCCATTCAAGCAGAGCCGATGATGACTTCTATATGGCAACCCGGTATCTACCGTAGAGGGCTGTAACAAATACTATGTAACATGTACACGTATGCCACATCTAGATGAGCGATGCAAGATCGTTGGGCCAAAATCCAACCGAGCTCTCTCGCTATGCTATTCTATACATCGAAATAGGCTACAGCAAGGCAACCAGCCTTGTACCAAGCCCCGCGTCTTTTATGCACCCTCAGCACTGTGTTTTCCCACCCTCCCCATTCCAAGCGTTTCTCAAAGTGAGCCCACAGCTCAGAACTAGAACAACGGCACCAAACGCCGCAATGATGGCCGCGGGCAACTTCTTTCTGCTCGTCCAGGGACCAGACAGGAGCGTAAAGTATGCGCCAGCAGGGAGGATGAATGCCAGGGCGGAAGCTGCGAGACCTCCGGAGAGCTCGAGGACAATACCGAGGTCGCATGTTGTCAAGGCCACTGTTCAGGTATCAGCTTGAGAGGTCGTACAGCGGCATGGATAAACGTACGGAGCATGGTGGAAAAGACAATGGCACAAGTCACGAGGACATGCCGTGTCTGGTTGAAAGGCTTGCCCTTGTAGAACGATTCATCGATCACTTCTCGGCAGACAAACACCTCTAGGGGAACTGCGACTCGTCAACAAGAACTCGCTGTGCGTTCTCAACGAGGACTTACTGGTGGTAGACATGTTGGCGCCAAAGCAAAAACGAGCAATGTTGATCAACCAGTCGTCTTCAGCAAAATTGTTCAAAATATTGCCCTGCAAGACGGTCAGTTCATAGGCCTAAACAGTGTTCCAGTTGGACACACTTGTGTCTTATCGGTGAACGTAACATATCCAGTCACTGCGACCAACAAACAAGCAATCAGACTAACACCAGTCGAAATATGCGTGACTGTATTGAATCTACGCCTCACATCAGATTTGCGCCCAATGAAGATCTATCATACTCACCTGTCCAAAGTAGGCACATGGATACTCCGGTAGATGTAGTTGCTATTGTGGTGACAAGCGTAGGCAAACGATATGACGCCGATAGCCTGGAAGACCCCCGGCTTGACGAGCGAGAACGTGTCGAGCGAGCTTCCTCGCAATGACACATCTACAGCTACGCTTCTGAAGAGGACAGACAATACGATGACTCCCATCGAGACGAGCGCTATAGAGAAGTCAGCGAGGTATTTGCAAAGTATGTCCAGACATACCGAAACCGGATGACTTGGAGAGCTTGACGATGTCTCGATGTAGACTCAGAGGTAACGAGATGAACACTGTGCACAGACAGATCACGACCTGGCGATTAACCAGAAGGCCGAGTATCGCGTGCTCGGAAAGGGTTGGGAAGATGTAGCTTATGACACGGGGTATGGTGTCGCCGATAATCACATGGAACGCGGCAGTACTATGAGCAGGTCAGCCGAGGTTTCGGGTCAGCAACAACGAGAAGCTCACCCCCCAAATGCAAAGATAAATTGAAAGAAGGAGACAGAATAGCCGCCTAGCGGTCCGAAGCAATGGTCCATCGTCTGCCGCGTCTTGTCAGCTCCTGCATGTCTCTCAGACAGCCCGATTACTCACTTCTGTGTAGGACGCTTTCCCACTCAGTTTACTCGTCAGAATTACTAGCCGGATAGTCCAATCTGATATCACGGCGATGGCTATTATGAGAAAGATCCCCATAACGAACCCTGCTTCTGCGACGGCATATGGTAGTCTAGGTAAAGTCAGCTTCACAACAAGCATACGAGCTTGATAAACATACCCTATAATACCTGCACCTATAATGGAGTTGGCCATCTACAACACGTCAGCAGAGTCACAGGTCTCAGCCGTGGTCCAACCCACATTCGTGACAGCTTCCACCAAACCTCCTCTTGAAGCCGAATCCGGCCCTTCAATCTCCAGCAGGTCTAATTCCTCAGGCGTGATTGCCGAGTCTCTTCTGGAAGGGCCGCCCGCCAGCAAAGGGGCCGAGACGCTATCCTCCATCTCGAGATCTTCTTCAGGCGCCCTGAACGCTGTACGCGTGTCAACCGACTTTCTCCTCGACATCGTGCTTGCTGGTACAAAAGCAAAGTATAAACTCACATATATCGTGGTCCCCTCTTTCCACGTCCCCAGCGTCCTTGTCCTTTGAGCCTCTTCTAGATCCCCGCCTTGACGACGACACAGATCCATGCGTGCTGCGGCTGCCCGCAAGATGGCTCGATGACCTGGACCGACTGGGGCCTGCTGCGTCTGGTATGCCGTCTGTGATATCGACGAGGGGCATTGGGGGTGATGTTGTAGGAGGAGACATGGCTGACTGTGGGTGAGGTGTAGATGCATAGCTGCGACTTTGCCTTGCTGCCCACTGCGCTCAGTTGACGCCGCTAAGGAAGGGGGCCCCAGCTGTGTCAACAGATCAGATCTCAGACGCGCCTCGTCGTCGTTCTTTTCATCTTCATCACTGCTCGCCCATGTCCCTCCCGTCCTCCTCCTCTCTCCCACCACAGACACCCTCCAAGGCATCGCAGGAACGCGCGCGCAACATCAACCTGTCGCGGGATGACAGCATCGACCTAGATGCCATAGCTGCCGAGCCTGAGGAGGAGGCTGTCCACTTTTGCCTGCTGGCAGAATTTGACATCGATGCGGGAGCTACACTGGCATATCAATATCCGTATCCCATGGGAACGGATGAACAGTAGGTCCTGTCCTTATCGGTCCGGAAAGCTGCTTACGCCCGTGCAGCCAGCTGGCAGAGCTCATGCTTCCCGACGGTGCCCACCTGCGACCCGAAGATTGGACAGTCTTCTACCTTGGACAAACAGCTTCCAATGCGGTTGACCCGCTCCTCTCGCATGAAGCAGCGTCGCTGCGGTCCGGTACCTCAGACTCGGACCATCGGAGTACAATGATGACTACGGGAAGAGCTACGAGAGGTGTGGCTGGGGGTGGATTGTTGTATGTCTTGAACTGTGTGAGGATGAAGGAGGATAAGAGTATGAGGAGAGGGGCCATGGTCAAGGCGCTGGCCATCTGCACCCCAAATCCCTATATTGGTATCTACAAGGTGGGTACCCTTGCGTCACGACGAACAATGCTCACAGGTGCCAAAGCCGCTATTGTTACTAGCCCTGGAAGAATATTTCAACAATCCCTCTCCTGAAATCCTTTCCCGTCTATACGACTCTGCCAATGCCATCTCTACAGCTGGTATGCCCCGCCTCTCCCGGAACGAACGAATCATCTTGCGGTCCTCCGAGCGCAAAGACCTCTTTGAAGAAAAGTTCGGCATCGCCGAACCGGGGAGCGGGACTCAAGAAACATTTGAAGGAGGGAGCAGTGAGGATCACAGCTCGGGAGAAGAGGCAAGGAGCGAAGAGTTGCATGCGGCGCCGACGGGGCATCGGAAGACGCTCAGCAGCAGCTCTGGTATCAAGATGACAAGAAAAGGAAGCTCGCAGTCTTCTCATATGCTGGGGACACCTTCGTCGTCCAGAGAAGGAGGGGTCACACCGGACTTTGGAATGGGCGAGGGTGGAAGACGAAAAGGTGTTCCAAGAGATACGCATTTCTTTGAAACAGAAGCGAGGTTCAAAAAGATCACGGTCCCTATACGAATCCCGATGACCATCTTCGACGAGGACGTTGGTGATGTGAGTCCATTTCTGCCGAAAATTGATCACACAAAGCTGATCCTGAATAGTACTCCATCATCGAACTCGTCCAAACCTTTTCTCAAACCTTGACTCCCTTCCCCCCGCCATACCATCCTCATCTTCACACCAACGGCGCTGCAACCCACCCCATCATCCTCATCTTCAATGCTCTTCTCGCCAATAAGCGCGTCATGTTCCTCGGCCACGGTCTCCCCGCCAACCAAGTCGCACGTATGGTGCTGGCCGCTTGTGCCCTTGTCTCTGGATGTGGCCAGGTTCTGCGCGGGTTCCCTGAGTGTGCGTTCCCGTATGCGAATCTAGCAAGTCTGGATATCCTAGAAGAGTTTTCAGGGTATGTGGCCGGGGTGACGAACCCGAGGTTCGAAGATCTGCATATGACTTGGGATGTGCTCTGCAATCTCGAGACAGGAAAAGTGACAGTGTCGAAGAACATGAAGTCGGGAAGTATCAGTATGGGGTCGGTAGGGAGTCGAAGATCGTCAGAGACAAGTCTGAATGCCAGCCTGGTCAAGGTGGAGGATGATAATATCTCTGGGACAATGACGCCCCAACCAAAGATGATTTCTACCTCTCGGGCGGACTGTGTCGACAATCAGTTCATGGAAGAGGTACGTCCATTACATAGTCAATCGGAATTAAACTCATACAAGGCAGATTGCGGCAGCAATGGCATCCCACTACGGAGAGTCCAACATCCGTCTTCGCCTCACCGATTATCTCCACCGCTTTGTCCGTCTGGCAGCTTATCAAGAATACGCTCACACCGGTTCATCTAAGATCGGCTATCCCACGGTACACTACCATGATGGCCAGTTGGGCAGTGGTGTGGTGTTTGCGGACGAACAGATGAAGCAAAGGGAGATGTGGGCGAACGGACATAGGATTGATGCGTGGAGAAAGACTAACAGTTACAAGCTGTTCTCCAAGGTAAGCATCTCGCGGTCGGATGATGCCCCATGCTGACAGGAGGTATAGGATTGGGAATCTCGCACCAAGCGTCGAGCCATCGAATTCGACATCCATCATCAGATCTCTCGCCTCAGGATGGCCAAAAACATGTCCGATTCTGAAGCCGACGCAATCTTCTCGGCACTTGCAAACGGTGTTCGCACGTATGAGCAAGTGGTGGAGCTTTTGACGCATTTGCCGCCGCATGGAGGTGGAATTATGCCGATAGCAAATGGGCTGTTCCACCAGTGGCTGGGCGTGAGGGAGAACACGGTGGACCTGTTGTTGACTTTGCAGCAATACCCTGTAAGCGCTGCCCGATGTCGTTACGGGGACATTGCTGACGACCAGGCAGATTGGGCGGATAGCAGTCACAGCAATGAACTACTTTCACCGCAAAACTCTCGCTCAGCTCCTCGAACGGCGCGAAATGGCTTACCGCCTGCAACGCGAGCGCCAGCTCGAACAGGAAGAAGGCTACGGGTCGCCTACAGATGGGTACAGTGGAGGCTTCGGCTCGCCGGGGAACACTGCTACGCCACAGAGTGGAATGGCGAGGGCTTGAGATATGATATAGATTCTGGGGAAGCTGCCTGTCTTGATACTTGTTGTAAGCACTGTATAATGGGTTCTGGGGTCTTCATGCATTCTGATCCATAGCTGCTGCTGCTTCGAGCTGAACACGTCGCAGGCAAGCTGCTTTTCTTTCTTTCAGGGGTTCGGTGAGAAGGAGACCATGACCACGTGCCAGCTACTTTATGTTGTCGACGTGACTGGTGACGGGACAAGAGGTATGAAAATGAGATCTTTCCCTCTCAGGTTAGATCAGGTCTGATGAGTGTGTTCAGACGTGACCCGGCCCGTCAAGAGTTTACATGTTAACGTAATACGAAGGCGAAACCGGTCCGAGCCCCGAGCTGACGAATTGCTTGAGGTCAATGGCTTGTATTGATGGGCGCTATGCATGTACAAGCAAGGGTGCTAGGACACATCTTTCTACTCTGTGAGTGTACATCCCATGCCTTAACCACTCGTTGCCGCCGGCACGTCGTACGGCAACAGAAATAAAATGTTCGGTTATTTACCGGACGCGGCCCGGGGGATGTCTTTCATTTCCTTTTTCGTCTGTCGAACCGTCATCTCATATCAACAAATGACCGCTCTATCCCGCATATATATACAAGCATGAATGACAGACTCGGATCATATCTTCATCGATCAATCCCAGTATCAGCAACAACATGGCTCCTCTTCTCAGCAACGGGGTTCGCATAGTTCTCGCTGTCTCGGCTATATCTCTTATCCCCAGCTTCGCTCTCGCAGCTTCCCCTATCCAGGTCGATGGCCTCAACTTTACTCTCTCCGGTCCTTCCGTCAGCTATCAATTCCACGTGAACGACGATGGAGACCTAATTCACGACTACTTTGGCGCTTTCGCTGCCGATTCGATTCGCGACCTGACAGAACCTGGAAATGGCTGGCGGTCACCCTTGGCCCAGCATCGTCGTGAGTTCCCAGACCAGGGCAGAGGCGACTTTCGGCTTCCGGCCTTCCATATTCGCCACGACTCTGGAAGCACAGTCTCCCAATTCGTGTACGAGGGTCATGATATTGTCGAAGGCAAGCCTGCTCTCGACGGTCTGCCGGCGACATGGGGCAACGCGTCCGACGTATCGACTCTCCAAGTGTACTTGGTCGACCAGAAGTCTTCTCTCACTGCTACGCTTTCATATTCCATCTTTCCGGACATCGGCGCCATCACTCGAAGCTTTAAGCTCAAGAATGAAGGAGAGGCGAATGTGACTCTCGAGAGGGCCATGAGCTGGAGTCTGGATATGCCGCCGGATGATTGGGAGATGGTACAGCTATCTGGCGACTGGGCGAGTGAGGGAAGGGCTATGAGAAGACCGGTATACACTGGGATTCAAGGGTAGGTTCCACTGGTATATGGGAGGAGCAAAGCTGACATCTTCGCAGCTTCCAAAGCTCCGCCGGCTACTCCTCTCACTTCCACAACCCCTTCCTTGCCCTCGTCCATCCAGATACTACCGAAACCACGGGATCCACCTACGGGTTCAATCTCATCTACACCGGCTCTCACACTACCGAGGTTGAAAAGTTTACCCCGGGCTTCACCCGAGTCCTCATGGGTTTGAACCCTCTACACCTCTCTTGGGTCTTGTCCCCTGAAGAGACATTCACGACCCCCGAGTGTGTTGCGGTCTATTCTGAAGAAGGTCTGGGAGGTATGAGCCGGGCATTCCACAGGCTGTATCGCGAGCACCTCATCAGGAGCAAATGGGTCGATCAGACCCGGCCCGTGCTCATCAATAGCTGGGAAGCATTCGGCTTTGACTTTACCGAGACGGATTTGGAGGGCCTCGCCGGAACAGCAAAAAATCTCGGTGTTGAGCTTTTCGTCCTGGACGACGGATGGTTCGGTAACACCTATCCTCGTACGAGTGACGAACAAGGTCTGGGTGACTGGCAATACAACACTGAGCGCTTCCCTCAGGGGTTAGAACACTTGGTCAACAACATCACTTCCCTCACCACAGCTCGCGGTGAGGCTATGAAGTTTGGTATCTGGGTCGAACCGGAGATGGTCAATCCTCGCTCATCTCTCTATGATGCCCATCCCGACTGGGTCCTCTCTTCCTCCAATTACAATCGTACTGAGACGCGGAATCAGCTCGTACTTGATGTGGGACGACCCGAGGTACAGGAGTACATTATCGATTTCATGACAGACCTCCTATCCAATGCGAGCATATCGTATGTCAAGTGGGACAACAACAGGGGTATGCACGAGCTCCCTCAGCCCTCCTCTGCGCACACATATATTTTGGGTCTCTACCATGTCATTGACACTCTCACCAGTCGTTTCCCCGACATCCTATGGGAAGGCTGCGCGTCTGGAGGAGGACGATTCGACCCCGGGTTGATGTATTACTGGCCGCAGACCTGGACGTCCGATGACACGGACGCCTACCAGCGTCTCTTCATACAATTCGGCACCTCCATCCCTTACCCTCCTTCCACCCAAGGCGCGCATGTCTCGGCGGTGCCAAATGGTCAACTGGAAAGAACGACGCCCTTGGAGTTCAGAGCGCATGTGGCGATGATGGGCGGCAGTTTTGGCTTTGAATTGGATCTTGGCAATATGACCGACGGAGAAAAAGGTCAGGTGAAGGAACTGGTCGAGGTAGCGGAGAAGGTCAATCCGCTTGTCATTTCTGGAGACATGTACAAGCTTGCCTTGCCAGAAACAAGTAACTGGCCGGCCGCATTGTACGTCTCCAAAGACAAGTCGGAAGCCGTGCTCCTGGCGTACCAAGTTCGTTCGACAATCATGACCGTCATACCCGCCTTGAAACTCCAAGGACTGGAGGAAGATGCTACGTACAATGTGAACGGGACGACATATCAGGGGTCGAGTCTGATCAAGGCGGGGTTGAAATTGGGTTGGGAGAAGGGAGATTATTTGAGCAAGGTGGTCTGGATCACGAAAGAGTAAAGGCGGGATAGCTTTGACCCGCACCTGGACGAGAGACTACTATAATCGGACAATGCATATATGTGAAGGCTCCAATACAGCTAGAAGGGGCATGCGTACCGACTGACTAATGAATAGGGTAACATTCAACACCGCCCCTTCGGCCGCCGCCGCCGCCCACAGGCTTAGACGGACACGCGCGCGCGGCGCCGGCAAGGCAGTGATCTCTTCGTGTATCTCTTTCTTCTTGCCGAATATACATTCCGAGCTATGGTGGCTCGCAACTGGAACCGCCTTTGGTAAAATGACTCATTGTAGGAAGAAGAAGCGGCTGACAGGCAATCCAGGGTGGCAGGGACAACTTTACTCATCTCCTTCATCTCATTCTCGAGCCAAATCTTCGTCATATGGCCTTGGTATGGAAGGGAGTTGAGTATGGATCTGTTAAAGCTCCTGGGGCCTTTTAAGTGAGCATCTGTCCAAGTGGCAAACACAGTCAGTGCCAAAAGGAGCTGTGCTGATATTTGTAATTACAGCTGCGCGGTGTTCATGGTGTTTTGGAATTACCGGCTGATAGTGACAACTTCTCCTGGAGAAGTACCGGACGGATGGGTTAGTCCTAATCCCCTATTACAGCATGTACTGACTCAGTGACACAGAGACCCACCATGGGCGCGTTGGACGGTTTAGAAGTCAAACGCGGAACACACACCCCGAGGTACTGCAAAACCTGTGAACACTACAAGCCTCCGAGAGGTGAGGAAAAGAAGGAGTTCCCGGATTACGAGCTGATAAATATCTAGCGCACCACTGTAGATCCTGCAAGACATGCTGGGTGAGTTTCGTCACAATCTTCGGGAAGACCGACGCTGATCTTTTGTAGCTGAAAGTAGGTCTGCACAGCGCCTGCCGGGAGATTTGCACTGACTTGTTCTCTTTACCCGAATTGTTCAGCTTGACCGTGAGTTCGAAAAGTCCTTCAACCAACTTTGGCTAATCTTACTTGTAGACCACTGCCCTTGGGTTGGTAATTGCGTCGGCTTCTTTAACCAAGGCCATTTCATTCGCTTTCTCCTTTGGGTAGACATCGCCACTACTTTCCATCTTCTGATGATGTTACGGCGCGTCATGGCAGTTGCTCATTATTACATCGTGAGTCACCTTGGACGCCGTTGTTTGAGCATGCTAAGAGAATATAGGAACCGAGCCTTTCGGATGTCCTTTTCTTGGTCTTCAACTTTGCTGCCTGTATACCCGTTTGGCTCTGTGTTGGCATGTTTTCGATCTACCACCTCTACCTCGCTTCCGGGAATAGCACCACAATAGAGGGCTGGGAGAAGGACAAGGTGGCAACTCTGATCAGGCGCGGAAAGATCAAGGAGGTCAAATATCCTTATGTGAGCTGTTTCTGCTTTCTTGCTCTGACGAGCCTACTGACCGCTCGCAGAATATCGGAATGTACAAGAACCTAAAGTCTGTGCTTGGTCCCCAGCCTCTCCTCTGGCTCTGGCCTCAAAAGATGCGAGGGGACGGGCTCTCGTTCCCTGTCAACCCTGAAGCAGGAGGTGAGTCTGCTTCCGATGACTGGGCTGGAATAGTGGCGCCCAACAGGGATCTGGATGGTCCCCGGGTGGGAGGCGGAACTTCTTCGAGTATTGCTGGAGGAAGTGGGAGCGGAAGTAATGTTGGCCTTGGTACGGGGGAAGAGCGTGCGCGCCTTGCGAGGTCAGATAGCGGTACCATAGTATGAGTGATGATGTGAGTCGGCTCCCGATGAGGCTGTAGATAGACAATTGACATTGAACACAGGGTCACCGTGCTGACTCGTATTTAGACCATGACTGCCAGTATTTCTGGCCTCCTCAGGATCCTTCCCGTTACCCCAACCCTCCTCCTCGTCCTTCTACTGCATCATCGCCTTTCACATATGGGGATGGCTTCAATCCCAACCTTCGTCCCTCCAATGCTTTGCGGTCACGCGCAGCCAGGGATCATGAGCACTCTCTAGATCCCAACGGTCCCAATCATACCTTCGAAGAAGGAGAAGGAGAAGAAGCCTACTCGTCCGGCGAGGATCGCGACAACGACTCTATCCGCACCTCCTCTTCCCCCGAACCATACCTATCCGATTATGACGAGTACAACGAAGGTCCTCTGGCGCCAGGTGAGCGTATGACGAGGGTGAGGAGGGGAAGTGAAGGGTGGGAAGTGATGCCTGTGAGAGGTGGATGGTATGCAGGGGGAGGACCCGGTGCAGGTTATGAAGAAGAACATCAAGGAAGGTGGCAGGAACAGGAGCAAAGGGTGTGGGATGATCAAGCGGGGGAGGACGGGGAGAGTTGGGAGGGGGTGAGGGGAAGCCAGAGGCCATGGGAGGACAGGGGACGGTATAACATTTACTACCCGGAAGAATAGAAGTGTCGCATAGCACTTAGCATAGTGTCGTCTTCGTCAGCATAGACTTGTGTGTATAAACAATGTAAGGGTACCTTGACATACTTCTATTTGTTCTATTCCATTTTATCCTACTCTATAACAACAAGTCGTTTCAAGAAATCTACAGAGACATCCATCTACTCGACTCCGGCGCCAAGCGCCTCCGCAAACCTCCTCGCTCTCCTCGCAACCTCGCCTCTTTCGCCCATCACTGTCAGTCTCAGACTCACACCCTTGAGATTCTCGTCCTCGTCGAGCGAAGGCACAGGGGTAAGAGTAAAGTTGGAAAAGGCGTAGTTGAGGATGTGGGTCTCGTATGGCTTGGTAGGTGATGTCAAACGGACGAGCCCCTTCACTGTAAATGGCGTCAACGACAAGCACTGATGATCAGGCATAAGACACACCTCTATATATCTCGAAAGAGAGCTTTGCAAGCTCCTTCTCGAGTGTCTCCCTCTCGAGCGGTTCAACTTCACCCACCGTGTCCACTTCTTGCTCTCCTTTCTCACAAGTCCTACAAGCCTCCCCATGCGCATGGTCATGCTTCACTGGCCTTTTCCCCTTATACACCCCTTTCACCTCCACCTCGTCCCCATGCCATTTCCCCTCCTCCCCGATCACTCCCCAATCCTTCCTCTCTTTGCCCGTGGCATCCCACAGCTTGCTGTCGAGACCGAATATGAGCTCTGGCTTGGGCGGATTTAAAGGGGCGGGGCCGATCTTGATCTTGGGCGTCTCGTCGTTGAGGTCGTTCAGCCTGTCTAGGAGCACGTCGTATTCACGCTCGTTGGGAATCTGATGCTTGTTCAACAGCAAGAGATCGGTGTACTTGGCTTGCAGTTTCGCACTAGGCGAGGAATCTTCATATCCCCCAAAGTTGACACAGTCCACTACCGTCACCACTCCATCCAGCTTGAACCCCTGGGGCTCCAGGTCCTTGATCTGCAAAGCAAGGGTGGCAGGGAAGGCAGATCCGGAGGATTCGATGATGATACGGTCGGGCTTTAGGGTGGATTGTATTTCAAGGAGGGCATTGGAAATGAGCCCGACGGAGGTGCAGCAGAGGCAGCCGTTGAGGATCTCGGAGACACCGGTGATGTTGGATTGAGAAGCAAGAATCGAATCGACTGTTCCAGATGAGCATCGGAGGGGACGATGTGGATATAGAGATTACCTTCGACATCGCCATATTCGTTCTTGAGGAGCACGACTTTATAGTCCTTGGGGAGCTGCTGCAGCAGAGACAAGATAGTCGTCGTCTTTCCCTGAAAGGAATCATCAGACCATTCCCTGATCACTACTGTCTATCTGATGTTCGAACGTACAGCTCCTACAGTCACAATGAGCAAGGAAAGGGTGCCAATTGAGAGTCCACGCACCAAGAAAGCCAGTAAAGCATGTGACTGGGATAGGTCCTTTTTCCGAGGGCTGAACAGTCATTTCAAGATGTTTGCGGGGCGGAGGAGCGAAGATGAAAGCTATAGTTGCGCCCAACGGTGGATAGGAAAGGTGAAAGAAGGTCGGATGCGCGCGAGACAAGCCGAACGTAACTTAGACGGTGGACTTTCAAAAGTCCGCTCAGCTCCTTTCCCAGTTATCTTATCTCCTGAAATGTCCCTGGCGAGTCACAGAGACCGCCTTTGAATGGATAGAATAATATACATCTACAAAGGCTTCACTGTACTTGTACAAGGAGATGGGTCGATGCGGCCCTTCGCTCTTGCTGCCGCGGCGTATAGCCTAGCACCTAGATCCCCTAGATCTCCTCGGAACTGTATGTATTGCAACAATATCTACTCCCGCTTCTTCATAGCACTGGATGGTGCTGGAATCATGCCAAGTATGCCCAGGGTGAGAGTAAACAAGGCTGTCGCTAAGAATCCGTCAGCACTGACCATCCTACATGGAATCCATGTGAGACCCACCTCCAGCCATACTACTAAAAATCCCCATCCCCTCTCGGCCCTCCATTTGCTCTAATGAGGCATTTCCCACTGCCTTGAACGCATCCAGCACACTTTGCAATGTAGTCGTCTTGCCAGCTTGGGACAGGGAAATGACGAGGCATGTCCAGCCACCGATGATCGAGGCTGTCAAGAGAGGCACTATTATACGGAGGCGAGCTGATTCTTGCCATTTGGGATACTGCAAGTTCAGCTGAGCTGAAGTTGATGGGGGCAATGTGGTGCGACACTTACGTTGGGGGTGAATCCGCGGACCCAAGGCAGAAAGAGGACGAGGTAGAGGAATATGAACTGCATTATGATCAGTAAAGGTTCCCTGATAAGGTCATGAAGCATTGTCCCAGATGCTTTCCCACTTACTATAGTCGCAATATGCAGTCCCAAGCCAGTAATCAACACCCGTCTATATATCCACCCCATCAGCTTGCTTCCCCACCACCTCCCCGTCTTCCCCACTGGTCATAAACCCACCTGATCCACCCATGCCTCGCCTCTAATGTCCTCTTCACCACATTTGGGTAATCCAGATACCAACACCCCAAGCCTCCCACGAGGATGTATTTGCCGTGCTTGATGAAGACGGCGGTGCGGCTGGCAGGTGCGTCGATGGATGCTACGACGCTTTCGGAGGATTGGGAGGGTAGTGATGTGCGACGTTGGACGGGTGGGGGGTTGGACATGGCAGGGACAGGAGGGGCGGGGGTATGTTGAATACGTGTTGGTGAGAGAGGATGAGAACGAGTTGATAGATCAAAGTTGGGATGAACGTCATGCAGAAGTGTTAAGCGCGGATTACAATTCGGCTGTGTTTATCCGGTTCCGCCCATTACAACTTCCATCTTAGTCTGCTCAACAGTCGAGCAAGAGCAGAGACACAGCGTTACAGAGTGCATAAGATTACTCCACAGCTTTGATTATTTACTTCTGACCAGTTCCCTGTTCTCTATCCTGTACTCGTATTACAACTCTTAGAACGCCTTCTTGTACTGCTTCTCGGACTCGGTGTCGAAGATGTTGATGGGCCAGCTAAGCGCACTCATTCAGTTTGGCGGCCATAACACAACCTCGAAGTAGACTTACACAGGGTCATAGTCAGCAGGAGCATTTCCTCGCGCGTAATTGGCTTTGCCAATCTTGTTGATGGCCTCAAAGTCCTCCTCAGGGAGCTCAAAGTCTTCAAAGTTGGACTTGATTCTCGAAGCAGTAACACTCTTGGGGATGACCGAGAAGCCCTGGTATGCGCCCCAGGCAATGAGGACTTGGGCAGGGTCCTTCTTGAGCTTCTCGGCAATCTTGATGAGGTCGGGGTTTTGGACGATGCGAGGCTTGCCGGTGGTGTTGTTGCCGAGAGGAGAGTAGGCGGTGATTACAATGCCCTTCTTCTTGGCTACGCAGCTGTTAGCCATGATCAAGGGAGCGGGGCTTGAGATACTCACCATACTCATACAGTTCGGGCTGGATCAAGCTGGGGTGGGTCTCAATCTGGTTGAAAGCAGGAACCACACCGGTAGCCTCAATGATCTTGTCGAGAAGCTCCACTGTAAAGTTGGAGACACCAATAGCCTTCACCTTCTTGGTCTCCTTGTAGATCCTCACCACCTCCTTCCAAGTGTCTACGACACTAGGGCCATCCCAATCAATAGCGATTTTTCCGTCAGAGGTCTTGGGGAAGAGGTTGTCGCCCTCCTTGACGAAGGGGACAGGCCAGTGAATGAGGTACGCATCAAGATAGTCGGTATTGAGCTGCTTCAGCGTGAGGTCGAGGTCGCCTTCAACATTCTCAGGACGGTGGTTGTGGTTCCACAGTTTGGAGACGAGGAACAGGTCTTCGCGCTTGACACCAGAGTCTTTGATGCCCTGGGCCACTTCGTCCTGGTTCTGGTAAATCTATGAATTTGTTAGCGCATGCAGACTTGGGCGGATGGGGGGGCGTACCAGGGCGAGGTCAAGGTGTCGATATCCGACCTTGATGGCCTCAGTGACACTGTGGCATCATCAGGAGCTGTTTGTGTGCATACAGGAAGCGACTCACGCCTTCTCGACCTCTCCAGGAGCAGCCTGCCAAGTACCGAACCCGATCTGGGGGAAGGTCACGCCGTTGTTCCTGTCGGCCCGGTCAGTTGCGGACCGGCGCGGTTATGGCCCATGAGAGGTCTGCTCACAAGGTAAGGGTTCTGCCGAGGGACATGGTTGTATGTGTGGTATGTGAGTAGCAGATGGAAGAGTAAATGCAAGATGCGGGGGGATTTGAGAAAGAAGCTCGTGGTTATATACTCTAGTGCTGGCCCGACAGTCTTCCCATCTCACGCATGACTTGCGCCATCGACGGACCTCCACCTCCACCTTCTCCCGTCATGGGTCCGCACATCCTCCGTTTTGCCGATTGGCCCGCACCCCACGTTGGCACCCGTCACGCATTCCGAAATAGTTTCATGCATTGGAGTCATCTCACAAGCGAGGGCAGCAGAGACGAAGGTCGAGGCTAGTGTTCTTGCCATCGAGCCTGGAGTATCGGACTTGTGGCGGACAAATGGCGGCAGCGCATTCCATCATGTATACATGCGCCTCAGAAACACGAGGCGTTGAAGGACGATCCGAAGCTGGCGGTCTGCTGTACCTACGTACAGTACTATAACCAGGTTGTGGACCTCGGGAACCTGTCAAAGATCTTCTCAATCATGGTAGTACTTGTTGAACTTTTCAATCAATTCCGGATCATGCTAAAGAGACCATCCATTAGCACCCACACCACCTGGATAACTTATGGACGTACGCGATACCGGGATTGGAACCCAGAGAAGCCATCGCGGAGGACATAGATCTCTTGAGGTGTTGAGGGGTTTGGGTAGTGGTGTGCTCTGGTCTCGGCGTAGATCTAGGACATGGTCAGTTTAGACGGCCTTCCAAGTACGATTGAATAGGAATAGAGAAAGGCGACATACCCTAGCAGCCTTTGGGCCTCTACAGGTGTGGCGAAAGCTTCAGTATACGGTCTTCTTTCAGCATGACAAGGGAACATTGACGAACCTGGCTTGTGATAGAGCACAGTCTGACCAAGGCCGGCATGTCAATATAATCCTACCAGATCACTCGTGAGGCTTACGGAACACAACCTTGGGCACTGGAGAACGCAACCACACAGTCAGCTTCTATATTCTGACGAAATGGACGACACGCGCGCACCTGTTTCCAGCTTCTCTGCCAACTCGTCAACCTTGGCGTGGAAGGTATCGCTCGGATAGTTGAGGGCAGTCACAATGTTTCCTCCCTGACCAACCTTCAGCACCTGTCTGGTAGGCCGCTAGGACCCCGCTGTGGGCTTACAGCGAAATCACTGTCTCTGACGTCGACAACAGCCCAATCCTTCACCTCCGAGGCAGGTTTGGCTTTGATCAACTCTGCCAGCTCCTAGGCAGCTCGTGAGCTCATGCTTAACTCTGCAGATGAAAACAGCCCATCGATACGTACCTCGGCGTTGATATACTTGAAAGGCAACGAAAACGACATTCTCTTGATCTCAATTCTCTCCCTGATGCTCAGACCTGATACCGTCGAATATCTGTATAATTGTCTTGTGTTCCTACAAACCAGCGTGGGTATATGGAGCATGCAATGGTGGGGGCGAAAGCTGATATGGCCCAATGATGTGGTGAACAATGCACATACCGAAGAGCAGTCACGGCAATCGATCATTTCGGCTGCCTCCACTTCCTTTTCGCCGCTTCTCGTTTCTTCTGGTCAATCCCCATTCGCGCTTTCATTTTCATTCGTTTTGAAATACTCCCTAACCCGCCCTCTTATACTTCAATTTCTCAGCAATATGTCCTTCGCCCGTTTCGGTCTCCGTACTTTGGTGAGTAATGGGCCTCGAGCAGGAAGGGGAGAAGCCAATGAGAGCACTTTGCTGACTCACTCTTTCTTCATTCATTCAGCGATCCCTTCCCCAATCCCAGGTCGCCCGCTCAACAAACCTCATCTCTCAGAGCCGGCTGCTTTCCACAGAAGCCAGGAAGCTTATCGATGACGTACGTTGCAATTCGACAAGCAAGATCGAGGATAAGTTGCTGATCAGAGGCGTTTCCATGTAGGCTGTTCACTCCAACCCCCTCGTCCTTTTCATGAAGGGCTCCCCTGAAGCTCCCCAATGTGGCTTCTCAAGAGCTGTTTGTCAGATTCTCGATGTCCAGGTGAGCTATACAGAACGGTGGAAAATGGTTGAAGTGCTGATGAATCATGTAGGGTGTCCCCAGAGAGAACATCAAGAGCTACAACTGTCTTGAAGACCAAGAGCTTCGTGAGGGTATCAAGGAGTACAGGTGAGACTTTTGAATAAATGTGTCTCATATCTGTGCTGACGGAGTCAATCAGCGAATGGCCCACTATTCCTCAAGTCTATGTGAAGGGAGAGTTCGTCGGTGGTTGTGACATTCTTCTCTCCAGTGCGTACCCTTTGCTCAGGAATCACATTCAAATAAGCAAGGCTGACTGTGTTTGCGTCGTAGTGCACCAAAGCGGCGAGCTTGAGGAGCTGTTGATCAAGGAGGGCCTCGCTCCTCCCATTCCCGAGGGTCCCGAGTCCAACGCTTGAGCGTGATATCATGTAACATATAATCCTTGCACTGAATGTACTGCGCATTATGTGCTCCAGGTGCACCTCCGATCTGTGACACTACCAGCAGAGAACGCTGCATGATGTGCGAGAGGATATAAATTATCCCTGCTAAATGCCCCGATAATGCACAACCTTCACGAGACCAACACATCTCTACTGCTTCCCAAACCCACCCCAAGGGTTCACCCACTTATTCGTCTTGTTTCTCATTCTAGGCGCCGCCCTCTTGAAGTACTCCCAGCCCAAACTCATCAATTCTCCGCCCGCATCATATGGCGATGGTATTTCAGAGTAGTTCGCCCGCGCTGTAGGATGACGGACGTAGACTGCTGAGCAGGTGAGGTAAGAGGGGAGAAGGTATGCGGGGACAAAGATATGGGGTTGGGCGAATTCGGGGAGTCTAAAGTAGGTAGAGGATGGAGCGGGGGCAGAGGCTGTCTGCGGTGAGGGAGTTTCGGGAACCTCTTCACCCTCGACAGCCTCTTCCGACTCAACTTCCTCGGCCGGCGCTGATTTTTGTTTTGGTGGTTGGAGCATGACGATGGCAGAGGGATCCACGGTGAAGACATCTCCGGGATTGAGCATCACATTGGGGTTCCGGATCTGGGCGCGTTAGCACTTGCAATGAATTACCAAACAACTACTCACCACCTGACCATTCAGCTTGACATGCCCTTGCACGACATATCTCCTCCCTTCCCAGACATTCTGGGCAAAGCAAGCCCTGAAGATGGCGACGTCCAATCTCCTCTCCACATCTGCAAACAACAGTGTTCCAATCGGCGCCCTACTGTCCTCCGCCTTCTTCTTGACCCTCTTCTCGTCCGATGTTCTTCCTCCAGCCCTTTCTCTACCTTCAATCCATTTGCCCATCTCCGCCGAGGCAGCGCTCTTCTTCTCAGCCTGGTGGATAGCCGGGAGCTTTTCGGGCATATACCATCTAGAGAACTTTGTGAAACCGATGTGGTCACCGTGGTATCCTCTGATCAGGCGCTTGGCGGTGAAACGGAGTTGGTAAGGGGTGGCGTTTGTACGGGTAAAGTCATGTTCGCGCTTCAAAGGAGAGTCGGGAGAGGTTCGTTGCCAAAGGTTGAACAGGTTCTCGGGAGCCCAGCCCTATAGATCTGTGAGCTCATATGCTTGGGCTAGATGGGCGACATACCATACGGGGAACTGCCCTTTTGTGGTTAAAGACGTTTCTTGAGGTGTATGGTCTGAGCGGCATGGTGGCTGGCCGAGTTCGTTTTATGGCACAAAGTTGGAGGTCGAGCGACAAGAATCGCCAGAGGAAAAGAAATGCCACTTTTCGGGCATTCCGGCGATATCCGCCCGCGACTGTCCTCTTTCAACGGTATCTCTTTCAACAATTACTGCAATGCATGGGGGTATTCTAAGGGTTCTAAGAGTACTAGGGGTGATGGAAATAGGGTATGTATATGCGAAAATGACATGATAAGTTTGTGTACGGGCAAGATAAATGTCCAGGGCAACACGGCATAAAAGTACGTTACGAAATCGTTAAATGAGCAAAAGGCGCAAGCAGGCTACAGCAATCTAGCACAAGCACTCCTCAACGAGCACTATTCCTCCCTTAGTATACTTGGTCGCTCACGACCGGCATCCCATAGTCGAAGCTTTCTCCTTCATAGAATCTCTCAAAGCCAGTATCGCCCTGTGGTGTAGGAGCCAGATACTCGTATCTCTGCGGCGTGTGTGCCTCTAGGTACTCCATCTGTTGCTGCTGCATGTAGCCTTGTTGGCTACCCGATCTGGAAAAGTCGGCGCTGCCAGGTAGAGGCTGGGAGAGCGCCGGCGGGGCAGAAGTAGGGGTCGGGGCAGAGAGCGACGTACTCGACGTCTGGGAGGAAGGGTCAATACCAGCAGAGCCGGGCTGAGTGATGGAAGGGTCGATATACATGAATGAAGGTGCCTCTCCCTGCTGGTTGCTAAAGTCCTCAAGCATGGGAGAAGCCATAGCGGGTGTCAAATAGATGGGAGAGGGCTCGCCCATGGAGTGATGCCTCGTCATGATAGGCGGGACGTGGTGGTACCTCGGCGCATGCTCTCCCATATGGCCATGCACATGAGGAGGGGGAGCTTGGTGGTGCTGAGGACCAAGAGGTACGTGAGAGAATGGAGGAGGATAGGGGTTGGGGTCGTGAAGATGGAGACCGAGAGGAGTGAAGGGAGGTTGGTGGTTGGGCATGTAACCTTGGGGACGCCAGTTGTAGTCGTTGGGGTGCATGGGGGTGTAATTGATAGACGGTGTCGATCTCTGGCGCTTGGGAGCCGGCATTCGGGCGTTGAGCTTGTCGGACATGCCCAAGGGGCTCGGTCGCTTCTTGGTCTTTTCGACCAACGAAGACTTGGAGAAATCGACGGGGGGCGCTGATGCAGGAGACATAGCCTGCGACAGCTCTGCCTGGGATTCAGCCATTGCAGCCGCATGGATAGCAGCTCCCTCAGTGGCAGCTCTGACGGCAGCGGCACCAAGAGGAGCCTCGTTGGTGTACCGAGGAAGAGTCTCCCCCGCAAGCCATACTTCACGAAGACTTTCGGGAATAGTCAACACAAGAGGCCGGTCGGCTTCTGAACATTGTCAGTGATGACTCTAAGAAGCGACAGATGTTACGCACTGCCAGACGCCCTCCAAACTTCATCGGCACGAGCCACCAAACAGATCTCACGGATGATCTCCAACTTGTCGGCAGGCAACCACGCCATTATCGTGGCCACCGACAGTTCCAAGTCAGCCACCTTGGCAAGGTTGCCTCGGAGCATGTGGATGAGGAGGGAAAGTCGTTCTGAGAATTTGACGTAAGTCCGCAGCCGCGCACAAACATTAGGCAGTTAGACTCACGTTCTTTGGTGAGATGGTCCGGGGCACGGTGCTCGATGGATTTGGGCCACCATTTGGGCTTGGACTTGTCACCCTTGTTGTAAGGAAATCTGCTCTGCTTCTTGGGCTCAACGACCTTGATCCAAGCCTTGGCCACCTGCTTGCAGACCTCCTGTTGCACCGACGAGAAACGTTTCTCATAGTAGGGCACGATGTCGTCGGGTTGGATGGTAAAGACGGTCTTGTCTTGATCGGAAGGAAGTTTGCTGGAGCTGGCGACAGCAGGGGTGGGAGGTTCAACAAGGGTTCTGTCAGGGTCGATATCGTCGGCGTCGTCGTCTTCGACATCGTCCTCGTCTTCATCATCTGACCCGACGGGCAAAAGCTTCCCCTTGGCACCCGGCACGATCTGAGCATTACTCTTCCCTTCCTCCTCTCTTCGCTGCTTCAGCTTTTGCTTCACTTGCGCGGCATGGTACTTCAGCGAGTCCATATTCAACAGACCGCCACCCTCATCCACCTTCTGCTTTGTTTCAAACGGTTCTTTCAGGAGTGTCGATTGGAAGGTGTGGATCTCGCCTTTGGGGGAGATGAAGGTGATGAGGAATTGAGAGCCATCGATGTAGGATGCTTTGCCCAGCATGTGAAGGATGTGGTCCCGCTTGGCGCGGTAGTGTCTGTTGCACTCGCGAATCGTGTCGTATGTTTCTGTGCGGGCGGCGATACGGGGCATGGTGGTGATATGTGGATGGGATAGGCAGGGGGAGAGGGAGGTGTGGGTAGACCTATATGGGAAGTATGAGCGGCGATTGGGAGGCGTTGCCAACAAAGCTTCCGAGGGATAAACAACTCACGATGTTCCCACAGAGTACTATACACAAACGAAAAGAATGACAGGAGTAGGCAGTAAAGACAGTGAGGTGGCGAGCACGAGGCGGGCCGGAAAGAAGAACGGGGGTGGATGGATGGATGGACGGAGATGGAAAGAAGCAAACAGACGGCCCAGCAAACGTCAACCCGTTTGTGTTGTTTGGCGAAATGATCAGCCGCGAGCCGATTGGAAGCCTGGACCCTGAGATTGTCCCGCGAAACAAAGCCAAATTGTAGAAATCAGTCGCGGTCACGGGCGAAAATTATCAGTGCCGCCGGGAACTTCCGGCGCGCAGCTATCGTCTCTCAACCCTTCTTGGGCATTGTATTGAGGCTTCGGCGCTATGCAGCACGCTCTGAGCCAGTCACACTTGGTACTGCTTCCCTATGGACAAATCCCAAGAGTCGGCCCTGTTGTGCTCACGGAAGATGGGCCTTGGAACGATGATAAATAACACGGGAGAACGTCATTGTTGGATACGAGCATGCATGGATGAGGAGGGTGTGGGAGTTTGGAAATGCAAGAGATGGATAGAACACTTCTGATACTACGGTTACACAGACACCAGTCATCCTATACCAGTCTGCCCCCATCGGCAGTACTCGAGGACTCGAGTACTCCTTTTGGTAAGCGAAACTACTTAGATGGTACCATAACCAGCCGAGGTAGCCAGCCCGGTTACATCAGAGACAGAGCCTGCTGAAGCAATGTTGGACAGAGAGCTGAACTGCTCCAACGCGGTCTCATCAGACAAGTCAAAGCTGCCCGAGTCGGTGAAACTGTTTGCAACACATTCACGACCAATGTAGGAGGAACAGGCAGACTCGCCCGTGGCGTCGTTAACGGCGTATACAACGTCGTAAGAGTTCTCTTCGTAGACGGTAGATACACCGCTGAAAACGTTGCCCTCGGCGAGGATGTAGGCGCCGCTTTCAGCCTCGAAGGCGTGGCCGCTGGACTCGTAAAACTAGATGATGTCAGCCCGAGACAGAGGCATGGCCGGGCACTCACGTAGTTGTTGACAGCATGGAGAACAGTGTTGCCCGAAACCTTGGGGGCACGGCCGCTGAAGTGGTGGATATAGTTGTCCTTCAGGGTGATCTGGTCACTGGAACCAGTAAAGTACATGTTCCAGTAGTGGTACCCATCGCACGTAGCAGAGTATGTTGCTTCGCCGTCGATGTTGGAGTTGGAGATGGTGACACGGCCAGACGCCTCGGTGCCAAGTACTATGTGCTGCCTGCCGATCTCGTCGGTGGTTACGTGGTCGATCCACACCAAATCGGTGCCGTCGAGGGTGATAGCATCACCACCCCAGACATCTATCCATGTGTTAGAAGGTGCTTCCAGAATAGACTAGACAACCTACACTTAGGGTTGAGGTCCGTGATACGGATATTTTGGATGATGATGTTTGACACATCGTTCTTGAGATAAAGACCCTTGCCCTTGATGATACCCGACGAGCCATCGCCGATGATGGTCTTGTCTGAAGCAACCTGGATCGGGTTGAGACCAGCATTGTCATAAGTGACAGAGACACTGGCAGCGTCAGACTGATAGTTGGTACACCAGTCATCTTTGTTGATGGCGACCTGACAAGCATCGGCAGTGCCCCAAGGAGCACAGCCTGTGGCGGTCGTTGTGCCTTCGGTGTTGGTAAAGTCAAAGGTCTGTTGAAGGACAATCACTCGAGCAGAGTCGTCGGTGAGGTAGGAGACTCTAGAGCATGTGTCAGCGCGAAGTGGGAGTATGACAATGAGGAAGACTCACAGCTCGTCAGTTGTGGTAGGGTAGACGGCAGTGGCATCTCCACCGCCAGTGACGCCAGAAGCAAAGCCCTCTGCACTTCCGGTGACTGAAGTAGCAGCTCGCGCGACTGCAGCCAAGCTAGACATAAGAGCGAGAGTTGAGCGCATATCTTGAGGTGTGATATGAGGGGTAGGCGTTTATAAGGAGAGGGTATGTGTAGAGGGAGTGTGAGTTGTCGAACGAGTGTACGGCAAGAGCTTGGGTGTTGGTCGAAGCTGGCAAGCCAAAGTTGGATGTGTATGAGGGGGAATCGAGCTTTCCATCGCGGCTTATATGCACCAGACCACAGCGGTCTTCAGACAGCTTGATTGTCCTTCGGGCCCTTCGGGGTGACTGCTTTACCGAGAGTGCCTTCGGATGAAACGAGCGCAAAAGTCGGATGTCAGTGTGTTGGTATGCAGTCGACAGGGGAGATGAGGGGTGGATTGTCTGAAGATCGATTCCGCGCAGCCGAGGACAACGACGACACGGGAGGTGTCATGACTACACCCAGCAACGGTCCCTTCCAGGGGGTGATTTCCAGGTACAGCGGGGTGCCTCGGCCTATCGTCCTTCTTGGCATGCAATGTTTGCAGCGAGGCATGGGAATGTTGAAGTGCTGCCCAGTCAATGAAATCGATCTTTGATAAGACTGGATAGGTTGAATGATAGAGAGACTGCAATGGAGGGGAGTCGAAGGAGCGATCACCAGCTGCGCGGCCGAACGGACTTCGCCGGTCGGTGTCTCAGAACCCCTTGATGGAAGACTCGGGCCTCTTGCCTTGCATGCCCTTTTCAAGTAGTATACTACTCCGATGGACTGTCTAGGTCTTAGTCGACTTTGGGATGCCCAGGCATCGGGCATCGGCCGGCAACGGCGACGGTATGTACATTGCTCTAGTCCAGGGAGGAATGTCGGAGGCCCGAGAGGATTGCGTTTCTGTTCCGTCAGTTTGTTTGCCCTGCCCCGTAGACTAAGGCGCTCGCTTTGGGGTCAGAATGGAAAAGGTGTCACATGGCCAGAATACACTTTGTCACAAATACACTCTTTGTACAAGTACGTTTCTACTCCCTCTCTAGCCAGATGACCTTGCTGGCATAATCGCCCTTCGAACCTTTTCTCCAGTTCACCCTCAGCCCCGCCTTGATCAATGTCGACCCCTGATACCTCTCTCCATCTACTCTATACAACGCTTCTTCCTCCAGTCCTTGCAGTTTGAGTGGCGGCACGACGAGAGAGACGGTCGAGCGAACTTGGAAGGCGATAAGGACGGCTTGGGATCGGTCTTGCGAGACATAGAGAGCGGCGGGCCAGTTGCTCGTCTCCGGGAGGGCAAGCTTGTACATGTCCCCCTGAACCACTAGGGCATTCACCCTCTCCGCAAGCTTGATCAACTCCCTAACCTCTCCCTTCTCCTTATCATCCAACGTCCCAAGATCCAGTTCAAACCCAAAGCTTCCGCCCATCATCGCCACATGCGCGCGAAACTCCAAAGGAGTGGTACGTCCAAGCTGATGGTTCGGGACGGTAGATACGTGTGCGCCCATAGTAGAGGCGGGGTATGGGAGGGTGGTGCCGAATTGGATGAAGAGGCGTTCGTACGCGTCGGTATCGTCGGACGTCCAGCTCTGAGGCCAGTAGTACATAAGACCAGCGTCGAAACGCCCGCCACCCGAAGCGCAGCCTTCCCACAGCACATCTGGGAAGCGGGACGTCAAGACGTCAAGGATGTGGTAGAGACCCAGGATGTATTGATGCGCAGAGGATGGATGAGGCATCTCGTGCATCCCGCGGTTGTTGTCCCATTTGACGTATGTGATTTGCGCACTGTCCAGCAGCTTTGTCATGAAGGAGATGATGTATTCTTGTACTTCAGGCAAGCCCACGTTGAGGACCAGCTGGCCACGCTGCTCGGTTTGAGGGTATCCAGGGGTGGAGAGGACCCAGTCGGGATGGTTTTCGTACAACGCAGAGTGTGGGTTGACCATCTCGGGCTCGACCCAGATTCCAAATCTCATATTGCTGTTTGCAGTAGTCTTGAGCGCAGTGATACTGTCGACGAAGTTGCTCAGACCATCGGGGAACCGCTGCGCATTGGGCTCCCAGTCGCCCAAGCCCTGTTTGTCGTTTACACGAGCGTGCGTTTGACCATTGCCAAACCACCCATCATCAAGCACAAAGAGCTTGACGCCAAGATCAACGGCGGTCTTTGCAATAGCCTGGATGTCACCAGCAGTAAAGTCAAAGTAGGTCGCTTCCCAGTTGTTGATCAAGACTGGGCGGGGCTTGTCCACCCAGGGGCTTCTGATGAGGTGCTCCCGATAGAGCTTGTGGAATGCACGGCTCATGCCTCCCAGGCCTTCCTCGGAATAGACAGCGGCACATTCGGGAGTCGTAAAGGTCTTGCCAGGCGCAAGGGTCCAAGAAAGGTGCAACGGGTTCAAGCCCATGAGGACTCTGGTGAATCCTGGTGTAAACTGCTCGACCTCGGTGGCGTGGGAACCCGAGTAGATCAGATTGAAGCCGTAGGCTGAACCTGTCGTCTCAGTGCTTTCTGGGTGGACGAGTGCGAGAAAGGGGTTGTGGAAATGGGAGGCGTAGCCCGCGGCACTTTGGAAGCTGATACACGGTCAGCTGCATCCTTGAAAAGTGGCAGACTCACCCTTGGACACCTGGGTAGACAAGACGTCTAATAGCCTTTCCCTCTCTCGCCCAATCGCCCGAAAGCTGCACCATCTCCCACTCGGCCACTGGCATATCCACACTCCAGCTCATTGCCCTTTCCAACACGACATCCTCGTCTCCGATATTCTTCAGCTCAAAGCTGCGGGTGATGGCGGCAATGTCGGGAAAGATGGAATATGATAGAGTTGCGCGAAGATAGGAAGTGCGGTCGACGAGGTGGATGAGGAGGGTAGAGACAGAAGAAGCATCGCCCCATGTTGCAGGGAGTCCTTCCAGAGGCGGCTTGCCTTCCAGGACTTGATAGCTCTCATACACGAATTGCGATACCGTATGACCAGAATCATGTCGGATGTGGAAAGCAGGTAGCCTAAAGTCCCCTCGACCTTGGTCTGGAAACTCTCGGCGACTCCTGGCAAGGGGTCCACGCCAGCCATTGCGAGATGCTGGCAGTTCGCGTACAAGATCTGGCGTGTATGGCCCAAAGTAGTCGTGAACAAGGTCTCCATCGTCGCCGACATGGAACTGGTACGATACTAGAGGACTGGAGAGGGTAAAGCTGAGACCGTCGACCTGGATAGGGGTCGATTCTGGTACTCTGATACAAGTATTGTCAGGCGGGAAGATGGAGGACGAGGAGCGGGTGGGGACACTGAGAAGGAGGTTCAGCGCACCGAGTAGTAGGGGTAGCATGACCTTGTTCCTTGGAGGCGATGGCGGTTGGTGGTGATGGAGTTGCAAACATGATATATCTATGTTGTGAGTTTGGGGGACATGGGTCGAGCTTCGGGGTATATAAGGGGTGGCGGCACGTGCTGTCGAGCCCCCACACGAGGCAGAAGGGGTCTAGTCGTGTAAGAAGGTGTTCATAAGTCGGGGTGGGGAAGAAGGATAACAGAGGAAATGTAACTCGTACTGGAAGACTGCTTGTTACGAATGGTCCACGACTGGTCCAACGAAGCGAAGGCATATCGGCGGCGGCCGACGGGCTCACCCAAAACATGCATTAAAGAAAATGTCTTCCATTCACCATCTCAGCAATTCATTCGAATCTCCATCTACAATGGCCATCATCTCTCTGAGGTCGCTCCGGGTCCCTCCCATGGGCTCAACACGGGCGGCTTCCCTCATCAAGCGCGCTTCTTCGTCTCTGGCCGACAAGACCGTCCTGCAAGAGCTCGACGAGCGTGGATTCGTAGCAGCCATCACCAGGCAAGTAGATCTCTCGGATGAAAGGGTGGCATACTGACATTCTGTAGCGAGAACTTGAAGAAACACGTCGAGTCACCGACAACAATTTACGCCGGTGTCGACCCTTCAGCTTCTTCATTACACGTCGGTAACCTCTTGCCCTTACTCGGCCTCTTGCATTTCCAAACCAAAGGCCACCAGTCTATCGCTCTTGTACGACCATCCGTTCATTCATATAGCACTGCTTACTCGAATGAAATCTACAGATTGGGGGCGCAACAGGCTCAATAGGCGACCCCTCCGGCCGCTCAACCGAACGCCAATCCCTAACCCCCATCGAACTCTCCCGCAATATCGCCGGTATAACCTCCCAAGTCCGACGCTTCTTCACCCGTGGACAAGAATACCTCAACAAGCGCGGCTTGCAAGTGCAGCGAAAGGACGAAAAGGGAGAGATCGGGAGAGGCGTGAGGGTGTTGAATAATATGGAGTGGATGAGGGAGGTTAGCTTGTTGGACTTTTTGAGGGGCGTAGGGAAGAATGCTAGGGTTTCTACTATGCTTTCTAGAGATTCGTGAGTACCCCTGCTCTTCTTTGTGGTACTAGCTCATTTGCGTCGTGGCAGAGTAAAGAACCGCCTGACGTCGGACTCTGGCATCTCCTACACCGAGTTTACCTACCAGCTTCTCCAAGCCTACGATTTCTCCCACCTGCACACCAACCACAACTGTAACATCCAGCTGGGCGGCAGCGATCAGTGGGGCAACATTGTCGCTGGTATCGACCTGATCCGACGCGAAAAGATCGCTGCGAGGGAAGAGAGGGAAAACGCTGTGGTGGAAGGAGAGGATAGGGAGGTAGAGATCGTACAGAGCCAGGTTATTGGAGAGGAGGAGGTGTATGGGCTGACGATACCGTTGTTGACAACGAGTACGGGGGAGAAGTTTGGCAAGTCGGCGGGCAATGCGGTGTGGCTGGATGAAAAGAGGACACCGGCGTCCGAGTTCTACCAAGTGAGTCGATTATAAGCTTGCGGGATATGTCCTGATATCGTGCAGTTCTTTTTGAGAACGACAGACGCCGATGTGGAAAAGTATCTGAGACTGTTCACATTCCTCCCTTTGGAGACGATCCAAGAGACGATGACCGCTCACGAGGTGAGTCCCTCCCATGCCCCACCGCCCATACCTGACCTCGGACACAGTCTGCCAAATCTCAACGCCTCGCCCAGAAACTGCTCGCCGCCGAGGTGACCGAACTCGTACACGGTCCACTCGCCCTCTCTCGCGCCCTTACCGCCGCCCAAGTCCTCTACTCTACCTCCTTCGCCGACCTCAAAGCCGATGCTGTCAGGGAAGCGTTCAGAGGTGACAAGAGGCTCCACAACGTCAAGAAAGAAGAGCTGGAAGAGTCTGGTGTGGGCAAGGTCGCTGCCAGATATGGACTTGTTGCATCCGTTGGTAAGTCGTTTGCGCACAGAAAAAGGATGAGAGGCTGATGAGTGACAAAAGGGGAGGCGCAAAGGTTGGTGCAGAGCGGTGGGCTCCACATCAACTCGTCAAAGGTGACCGACCACCGACAGAAGCTTGGAGCAGAAGACCTGATTGATGGGCATGTGGTCATCCTTCGTGCTGGAAGCAAGAGGCAGGTCATCTTGTATGTCGAGTAGGATGCGTTGTTAGAGGGGTATGGGAGCAGACATAGATTGTACAATCACCATAATATTTGCATGCGCATCTCAGCTCCATGACCTGCATCTGTCACACGGTTTGCTCGCGAGGCATTGCTCTGTCGGTACCGTTGCGCCGAACCTTGCATGCTAGCCATGCTGCGCCACTGATGGTAGTCCTACACACAAAGGCCGTTCTGGTCGGGTTTACGATGCGCACATGACCATTCAATGCGATGGGCGATGGCCAAGTGGGGGAATGACTGCATAATGGACTGTGGCACCGTGGGTGTCGTTCAACATTGCATAGTGGCTTGCATAAGAGTTAAGACGGACGCCCGTGTGCCAGGCACGTCCTCCACCCCCGGAATATTCACGCTCGATTGGCCGGAGTGATGTTTGGCTCTGCAGCTCAGATACATACAAACAGCCCCCAGGGCAATGGGGGGATGGATGCAGGCCGGCTACAATGGATGATCGGGTGTCCTTTCTGCCACCTGACATTATTGGGAATATAGCGTAGAAAGACGGACGACTGTCGCCACAGCTCCGTCCTCGCCTTCCCGACGCGACAACGTCCGAGACGAGTATAAAACTAGATTCCCAATAGCCTTCCCTTTTTCCCACATACTCTAGAGATTATCACCGCTCCATCGCATCTACTCATCCCATCGCATCTCTATCCATACCTCCAGATGATCTGTCTATCGCCACCAAGCCTCGAGGCCATTCCCGAAGACAGCTCCTTCACCCCGCCGTCGACTCCCCCACTCACGCCGCTCCGCACCCCCCCAGACGAGGAACCCATGAATAGCCACGCGGATCTGGAAGTGGTTGCGAGCGATGGAGTGCGGCTGTTGACGAGCTGTGAACTGCTAAGGAGTGCAAGGTATGTCCTTTCATAATCTTGAACGCGGCGGCTGCTGACAAGAGATGGCAGCTCGTCATTCCTCATCATGAAGCAGTGGCACGAAGTTGGCACTCTTTCAACCATCCACTTCAAAGACCCCTTTATCGAATGCTCAGCCACCATCACCCTCTTCCTCCACCTCATCTCCTCGCGCACACTGCCAACACCATCCACGGCGTCTTTCTGCCACTACGAAAATCTGCTCCTGTTCTTGAAACGATACAAGTGCCACCATCATCTTGCCGAAAAGCTTGCGCGGTGTGTGCAGGGGTGGATGGAGGATGGATATGTAACGGCGAGTAAAGCGTTCAGAGTGGGAAGTCTAGTTGGGGATGATCGGTTGTGCAAAGCAGCTGTGGAGGCGGGGAATGAATGGACATGGGCCGGAGAAAGCCGCGCTTCACTATCAGTAAGTTCACCGTACCATTGTTTGGACACCATGCTGACATTTCCCAGCCGCCATCAGAGCATTCCAAACGACACCACCAGCCACCGGGCCCAAACATACACGACGACGGGATTCCCGGCGCTCCCGCCCTCGATATCACCGCCATGCCCTTCTCCTTTTTCAAGTCGCTGCCAGACGAGTACAAGTTTGCACTCATGCGGGCGACACGGAATGTGGCGGGGCCAAGCGTTGCATTGGACAAGACAAATTGGGATGGGATCGCTAGGGAATTTGAGAAGGTGTTGGGGGAGGTGAAGAAGACTCGTGAGTTCTCGTGTCGATGATGAGAAAGCATCGCTGATTGTGTCATTGCAGGGAGATCATGACCAACTGGTGTTCTAGAAAGTTTCAATGTTGTAGATCTTTACCATATATCTCGTCAAGATGACTGTAATAATGGCACATATCATGTTGGATAGATTGTATAGAAGTGCAGATGTAATTATAATGCCTAGTCGAAATCACCTGCACACTGTCAGCTTGGTCCACACTTCAATTCCATAAACTCACCATCGTCCATGTCCTTTGGCACCTTTGGCTCCTCATCCTCCCCGTACTGCATCATATTATCAATATGACTCAGCACCGTGTTGACCGAGTCCTCATTCGTCACGTCCAAGGGGAGGAAAGACACGATATTTTGGTCTTCTATCAAGCCCACCACGGCGCGGTTGAGCTTGCTAAATTTAGAGTTACTATTGCTGGATGGGTCTTCATAGAGAAGGCTAGGATCCGGATCCAAATATCTGCGTACAGTCAGCCACTGCCCAAAACTTTGCCATCACACTCACCTCCCGACCTCCCTCTTTGTCCTCCCCTTTTTGTCCTTTACCAAATCCATCTTGCTCATCAAACACAGCATACTGATACCCAGAGAAAGCATACAGCTCATAGCACTCATCACTCCCGCAAAGTATTTGCTCTTGTCCTGCATGAATTGCGAGTCTATCAGGTAGACGGCAGAGGTGCGGAAATTCAGGTTTGTGGAGAGGTAGGTGGCGAGCCGGGGAAGGAGGGGGACGTGGGTGTAAAGCTCGATTTGACCGGGACAGTCGATGATGAGGTAGTCATCTTCGTAGGCGCCTAATTCGTCGTCCAGCCAGTCGAGGTTGTTTAACAGATACCTGGAGGATTTTGATCAGCACCATTAATAACCCTCTGCTTCAAAGCACCCACTCAAAACAATATATCAAACCGCCATTGGGACCAAACTCGAGCTCCTCCATCACATCCTCCAAGTTAATCAGATCTCTGATATCAATTGTCGGCTCATATTCAAACTTGTCGGCGGCAGGGTCGAGGTTGACAAGGTGGACGGAGCGGCCGATGGTTTGGGCGTGGGTGATGAGAGAAGCGCAGAAGGTGGACTTGCCGGCACCGGCGGGTCCTGTGACGAGGACGGCGTATCGCATGGCAGGGGGGTGATTTTTGAAGAAAGCGGAGATGAAAGAGGTGAATGGCCAGTCGCCGCAAGAATTCACGAACGAGCGGCGCCCACCGCTCTGGATATGTCGTTCCTCGCTCATGATGTCACCACCTGAGCCACTCTCCTCTATCTTTTTGCTGTCATCTCTTTTGTCCCCCATCCTATTGTTCTTTCTCTGAAGCCATGTCAGAACAAAGTTCTGTGGATACTCGCCCGTCAGCCATATCGCGCAACAACTCTTCCTTGTCAAATCTCATGACTATGACCAGCTTGGACCGCTACCAAGACGACTGGGCTGGCGCGTTCACTCTGCTCGGTGAGTCTTGCTTAGACCTACCTTTGGGGAACTTTACCACCACCTCTATATATCACGTCGCTGCCAAGACGAGCTACGCTCTCTCATCGCAATTCCAACGACATAAAACGTGCTGAGCGGCCACGAGTTCCCACAACATCTCAAAACAGCCCCTAAATGCGATGCACCTCACTGACACCTTTTTCCACAGATGTCATTGAAACGTTCTTCGACTCCCGCTTGGATCTCTTCAATCGCCGCCTCAAAGCTCAATCCAGCCGGCTCAAGAACCGCGCTGTCGAACTCTTGCCTAAAGGCCTGCGCACGCCTAAAGGAGGTGGTATATTGCTGTTGGATGAGGAGGAGGAAGAAGACTCGGATGAAAAGGCGGAAAGGGTGAACCCTGCCGACAAGTACAGGAGGGATGTGGAACGAGAAGTGGACAGAATCAAAGTCAAGGTGTGTCCTTGCCGCATTGCTCGTACTGGAAGTCATACTGATAATTTGTAGCTTGCTGCCAAAGTCACTCACTTGTCAGCTACCTGGCGCTCAGACCAAGTCATCCGTACCAGGGACAAGGTCTGCTTTTTGTTTGGTGTGCTATCATTGACCTTCACTGCTTTCATCTACGGCAGATGTCCAGAATGGTTGCCTGTGGCGTACACTGTGCAAGCGGCATTCTATCTGCCCTTGAGAATCTATACGTACAAGAAGAAGGCGTTCCACTACTTTTTGTTTGGTGAGTTTCCTAGAATTCTCTGCGCATGGCAAAAGCTGACTTTTTGTAGAGTGAGTACCCCGCTCGGGCACCCGACCTTGCTGACCTGCCGCAGTCTTTGTTACTTTGTCAACGTTCTCGACCTTCTCTGGATCTGGATCTTCCCCTCTTCCACTACTCTTTTCATTGCCTCTTACCTCCTCACTCTCGGTCCCCTCGCATCCGCCATCATCACCTGGCGTAACTCCCTCGTCTTCCACTCCATTGATAAAGTCACTTCCATATTCATCCACATCTACCCACCAATAGTGTTAACGGTGATCAAGCACATGTACCCCGGGAGGGAGGAGAGGTTCCCGGGTCTGCAGGGCGTGGATGATTGGAGTTGGTACGGGATGATTCTGGTGGCGGGCGGTCCATGTGAGTCGGGCACGAGCTGGACAGAAATCAGAGCTCACGGCTGTGCAGACATTATCTGGCAAGCGACCTATTACAAGTTTATTTCTATTGACAGAAAGACAAAGATCGAGTCTGGGCAGCGAGAGACATCTTTCCACTAGTACGTCATTACAGTTAGAAATGCGAACCCACGCTGACCTCTGGCAGTATGCTCAATGACAAACGCGGCCCCATCGGCAAAGCCCTCAAGGGTGTACCAGCAGCCCACCGTGAACTATGGTTCATCTTTGGCCAACTCATCTACTCCATCATCTTCATGATCCCACCTGCCGCCTTGCTCATTCACTCTGCCAACGCTTCTTACATCTTCATCGTCCTCATCTTTGCGGCGAGCACGTGGAACGGAGCGAGTTTCTATGTGGAAGTGTTTGGACGAAAGTTTGAGAGAGAGTTGGAAAAGCTGAGAAAGGAGATGGAGGAGGCTAGTCGGACGTTGACGCCGGGACCGGGGTCTACTCCCGCTGAGCAGATTTCGCCCGCGTCAACCTACGCTACCATCTCGCCTTCTCCTACCCCGCCCCGGGAGAAGGAAAAAAGAAAGATCAAGAAAGACGACGAGCTCGCAAACAGCCCGTTAGTTTTGCCGGGAGCGAGAAAGAGTGAGACGGCGGGTGAGATGGAGGTGCCGGAGATGGTGCTGGGGAAAGCTGCTGAGGAAGCAGTCGAAGAGAGTGAGGGCGTGAGGCAAAGGAGGTCTTAGACTCGAATTCTAGAAGGCGAGAGTGTCGGTCTTCTTTTGTATATACTCTATCCTAATGGGGGGCTGGACGCGGTCGGATGCAAGCTCATACACGTAACGAAAAGTCAGAAGAGGTTATGAGGTTGCCGGAAAGATGCAAAGTCAATCTTGCACGAAGGACCACTATGCAATGCGCTTGAGTGAGACTCTTTTAGGACTAAAGACATACGCTTGCATAACGTGCACAAGGCCTGACTGCCCCGCGACCATCAAGGTCTCAAGAAATCCGTCTCATGAGCAGCGCAGCATGCAACGATAACGTAGTAGAAGGGTATAGTAAAGATCACAGGCAGTGGTATATGGTCGCGACTTGACAGTAATAGACACAATTCAAGAGACCTGACCAGAAAGAGCACAGAGCGAGCAATGGCGAAAGAAAACACAAAAGCCCAAGCAGAAAAAACAAAGACAAAAGCCCCATCCCTAGTTGCCTTGAGACTTGGCCAACAATCTCTCAGTCCTATAGTTCTCGTACAACACCTCTCTAGTCCTGTTCCTCAACACCTTGGTGTAATCCCCAAGAATGTTGTCTAGCAACAGGCCGAAATGCGAGTGCTCTGGCTCAAGCACTGTAGCGGTACCCCAGGGGAATTGCCGGACGCCTGCTGTCACTTCAGGACCACCGGAAACGCTCGGGGAGGGTATGAAAATGGACCAGGGTAATCCTGGAGCAGATAAGGAGGCAGCCGAGTGGATGGAGTTCGGTGTGGGAGGTCGAGGGTCGGGTTGATCGACTTCCATATCCTCTTCCTTGATGTTGGTTGAGTCAGACTGATGTCTCTTGTAAGCTTTCTTCTTTAAGCGCTTTAGAGACATACCAGGCTCTCTTCATCGCTTCCAAACACACCGAAGCCTCTACCTGGTGTCTTGGAAAAGGCAGCAGAAAGATCACGTTGAACGGCAGCCTTGACAGCTTCGAGCTCGGATACCGTCAGGGTGTCTGTGCGAGAAATGATGGGCAACACATTGGCCCGTATTGAAAGACGATCAATCTACTCGATATCAGCATAACTCTCCGTGATACCGCAATGCAAACTGACAATATCGATCTCAATGCTGGACAAGTTTGGCCCGAATGTACTGGTCTCGGTATCAGTCTGCTCGTGATCGGGATCTTGCAGGCCCTCGTCGTCAAAGAGACCCACACACGACCAGTCGACCTCTTGGGTGGGTTTTCGAGCTTCTTCTGGGCGTAAGACTTCTCTGGCATCTATCAGATAGATCACTGTATTTGCATCAGACGCGCTGCAAAGTTTCCGAGGACGAGATAGAGCTTACCTAGATGAACGAGACCTTCATCGGCTCCGACGCGTCTTTGAACCTTGCTCTCTTCCCTCAATGTATACTTGAATCTCTCTTCCAATATCCTCAAGAGCCCCTTCACGCCTCTCTCCCTCTCCTTGCCTTTCACACCTACACCGTGCCCGAGAGCTGTTTCGGCAGCAATACCTCCGACAAGATCTTCATCGGGACACAGTTCGAGACCCGGAGTGTCAATCAGGCGTAAGAGGATGCGATCTTGAGAGTGAGTGGAGAGACAGGTGTGTGATTGTGGGCGACTCGTGGGAGCAGGATTGGGGGTAGGCTTCAATTGTTCGGGCGAGGGGGCAGAAAGCGAAGAGATCATCAAATTGATAAATCTGCGTTGCATCAGCACACACAGTCGTGAATGAGATTTGCAACTTGCGATGTCTTGCCCACATCCTTTCCACCGGCAACGACAACGTTCATCTTTTCCGCTGCCCCCTTCTTCCTCGACTTGCGCCTGCTCGCAACACTCGCCATACTTTGTCTCACATCTGGCCTCCCCAGCCCTTGTCCTTGCGCCTGTCCCGCGTGTTTGCCAGACGCATCTCTCCCCCACTGCGCTGCACTGACCCGAAAGTCGCCACCCCAGGACACGTTGTGCGGGCTCGAGTTGATCACCAGCTTTGGCGTAAAAGGGCGATGGAACTGCACTTCTCCGCCGCGGCCGCCGACCATGCTCGGCTTTCGGTTCCTGGTCCCGGAAGACCGACAGACGGGGCTCACTGGGGATCCTGGGCCGCGAGGGGAGACGGGGGAATCGCCCTGGGCGGAGGAGAAGGTGAATGGAGGCACCTCCTCCCAGCTTGATGTGTCGATGAGGGGGGTGGTAAGGTCGGGGAGTGAGAGAGAGTGGCGGATGGCGGGGGGGTTCTTGGGGGCGAGGGTCTGGTTTGAGTGGCGCGGCTTCTTGCGGAGGAAGGAGGGTGGCATGGTGGTGTTGGATAATGGAAAGAAAAGAAAGAAAAGAAAGAAAGAAAGAAAGAGAAAGGAAAAAGTAATTGCGTTGTCAGGATACAGAGGGACCGGGCGCGCAAGTACACACGAGGCCCGGGCGAGAGGTTAGTGGGCGGTCTGTGCGCGCGATGCTCTGGCTCTGTGGCGGTCTCAAGTCAGCATTAGTACAGGGAACTCCCTGGATCCACACTGAGGAGATATTCGAGAGGCCATCGCTTGCTGTTGGTCGTTTGTTGGCCATCGGGCGTCGCGTCGGGTGTCAATCGTTGGTCGATAAGCAACAGTTCCTGGTCCCTGGTCTTGGCTAGTCACCTCACTCAACAAGTGTCTTGTTGTCGCAGCTGCTCATAGCGCGCCGTGCTGGTCAAGTCATCCATGACACTTACATGGGCGATTGTGTCCATATGCACTACCGTGATAGAGAGTTGCTCTAGGCCGTGGCCGGCCCCTTTCCTCGAAGGCTCATTACCAATAGCGAATGATTAAATAGAAGAGGGTTCGGAGAGTGTCCGTGATCACAAATGACAGTCGATATGAATTAGCTAAGACCTAGGATCAGCCGTCATACTTGGAGATGCCAGCTCAACGCACCTCAGAACACCACACCATCACTGCTTCCTCTTGAACAGTCCACCAAAGTACCCGCTCTTCCTCTCCTTGATCACCATCCTGGCCGTCTCATCCGGAGGGCAGCTATAATGATCAATCCCGCTCAAAACACCCCCAGGAATCTCCACGATCGCGATATTGGTTGTGCTCAACCCATCAGAGCTTCGCTGGGTGTTGACGGATACATTGAAGGAAGAGTTGCTCCGAGACCTGAGGGAATGCAGCTGAAGCTTTAGCTCAGGTCCAAAGTCTGGATGGCAGGAAGCCCCGAGTGAGATGCTGTCGTTCGATTGGCTCCCATTGGGTCCGCCTGCGAGAGCACTCAAGGAGATGACAGACGGGTCCCGAGTGAGATTGTTGGGAGTAGCAAGACTGGTCTTAGAGCTGGTGACGCCAATACACGTATCATCCATCGTAAGCACAGAGCCAGCGCCGGATGTAGAATGCTTCAGACCGGGTGGTGGATAGACGCTCAATTTCTGAGATGTAGAAGCCGAGGTATCGACAGATTTACCGTCGGCATGTCCGTCAGTGGCAGTGATGCTGGGGAAGGTGTGCGCAGAAGCGGCAGCGGACGACGTGCGGGTAGCTTGTTTATACGAAGAAGCTGTCCGAGATGTTGATGTCGCAGTGGAACCATTCTCAGAGGTGGCAGACGATTTGACGGACCCCGATTTGACAGACCCCAGTTTGACGGACCCAGAGGTCGATTCGCTGACAGTCGAAGCCGAGCCCGAAGCAGCCTTGTTCTCATCAACCTTCTCGAGGCGGGCAGCAGCATCCGCAATTTCGTCCCTCCCGGAATGCACAGAGCCATCCTCGCTTTCTTTCAGATACTCGTTGATAAAGTGTTCCGTAGAGGTCGAAGGGGTGTGGCCAGTCAAAAGACCCTCGCTAGCATAGATGGCGGTCCTGTTGTGACCAGCCGATACTGAGCGGCCATGGCTGGGTCGCTCGACAGGTCCGGCGTGAGGAGCATCAGGACTGGGCATGAGAGGCGAAATTGTGTGGGAGCGCGCATGGCCTGGTCGCTCATTGGCTGTGGTCGTAAGGGCGGCCTGATGCATCTCGGATCTTGCACGATTCGTACCAGCTTGCGTAGCAGCAGTGGTGATTCTGGGAAGACTATTGAGCTCGCTGATGGAGATCAAGGGAATCTTGACCGGCGGATCGTGGTTTGCTCGAGATGCTGCACCTTGGGCAGGCGCATTGCAAAAGATCATGGAAGGGAGCGACACAATCTTCTTCAAGAGACGAGGCTTCTTCTTCTTGGTCCTGCTCTCTTGTAGATCCAGCTGACGGGCTTGCTCTCTGGCCAAAACGTCTTTTTCCCTGGCTACATCAACATAGTTGCTGATCCTTCTCAAATGCCTGTGAACTCGGCCTTCTGGAGAGTATTGTCCCTCTTCCAGCAACCTCTCTGCAGTGTGACCAAGGGTATCCAAGAATGGCGTCACAGCGACGACCGGATCGACACTCCTCTCAAAGATCGACCCACCAGACAGCCTGGCATCAGACCGATTGTCGACCTGAGCATCAACAGACGGCTTGTTCTCCTGCTTGGTTGGGGGCATGGCGGAAAAGCTGGCATAGCTGCGACTCCCTCGCAGGGGCATGCGTTGACGATTGAAGCTGGGCTCGGCTTGCACCTGGCGAGGCAGCTCGGGTCGAGTAAGTAGAGAGCTGGAGGGTGCGTCAGGATGAGGCGACTCTGGCTGAGCATCCCTGCATGTAGCGGGCTGAGGAGAAGCGGCGTGTGCGCGGGACGGCTTTGGTCGAGGAAGAGGCGTCAACTCCGGATCGAAAGCGCCCATACTCCTCCTTCTTGCCGGACCGAGATCTTTTGCGGGCAAAGGGCTTGACGCCTCCCACAGCGCTATCAGTACCGCCTGCTGCTCCACACTCGGCTCAAACTCGAACCCTCCCTCAAAGTATGCCATCTTGAGGAACCACAAGTACTCGTCTCGCTTGATCTCATCGAGCGTCCTCTTAAAGTTGCGGACCCATAGCTGGCGGAACCGGTCCATGCCTCCTTGAAGAGCTTCAATGTTGGTCTGGTTGTCGACGAGGTGGTACAGCGACGGGGGGACGATAGGGTACAGATGTTCAGGTCTGTAGCCCTCGGCTTGGGTACGAAGGAGGTTTATGGGCCAGAGGCAGTCGCATTCAGGACAAGCGGGCGGACGAAGACGGGCGAGCTCGTGGTTGGCGTAATCGATCGCACAGTCGAGGCAAACGAATACACCAGAGTCAGCTACATGCCAGGGAACAGCTCAATCAACCTACTAGCTTCACACTGGTTGTCCCGTGTACATGCCCATACGCACGTAAACTCGTGGACCTCGCATCCGCTCTCTTCACACTCTTCATTGTGTCGGTCGACGATCGTGGCCAAGCTTTCGGAGCAGATGATACATTCATTGCGCGCTAAACCGAAGCGTTAGTCCATTCGGTAGAGGAGATACAGGCGACGCACGGTTGCTGAAGAACAAGACACGCTCCCCACACTTCTTGTACAGCCCATTCTCATCCAGCCTCCTCATCGGTATGATGATGCCGCCACGTGGCACCACCGCAAGAGTCTGGCAAAGGCTATCGCCACCAAGCTCCGGCTTGCTTTCCCGCTTGTGAGGTGTGAGACCTTTGGGTATGTGGTGGAGCTTGGGTGTTTCAGGGCCATTTTGAGCGCCAGAGACGGGCCCGGATGGCGAGCGAGCGATAGTGTTGAGTGATACGCCTTGAGGATCTATCACCGCACTCTCTCCAGACTCGGTGTCTTCGCCGTTGGAAGTAGCTTGATCAACAGTGTGAAAGCTCCTGTTGGATGTAGCGGGGCTGGTCTCGGGTTCTTGCAGTTCGTGTTTGGAGACACGAGGGGGAGGGTGAGAGATCTTGTCCGAGCTGTCGTCTGTAAGGACCGAGCGTGGCCCACTGCTTCCATCGTCCATGGTCCGAGTCTGGTCATGGGTTTGAGACGAGTCGGCGCTAGACGATGTATCGCCAGGGACCCCGAAGGTGGAGCGCGAAGCATTGAAAGAGATGTCTGGGACGGGAGGGGTGTCTGAAGAGCTGGAAAAGAATGGGTCGTGTTGGGGGCGAGGATGGGTGCGAGAGCGAGAGCGTGAACGGGAGCGGGGGTGGCGGCGCTGGGGCCTACATGCGGGTCAGTCAGTAATAAGAGGGGGTTGGTGTGGATGATTTAACATACCTGTCGGCGGGGTGCACTTCTCTCACCATCTCGGGGAGGGGAGGAGGCTGGGGAGGACCAAGAAGTGGGAGGAGGCAGGGGGCGAGGGTGAGGGGATGGCAGAAGACCAAAATGGATATATAGATGGAAGTATGAGAGCGAAGCGAGATATGATCCGTCTCATCCAGATAGGCTGGTGGTGAAAGGGACTGTGGCCGCTGAGGGGCAAGCTACGGCGGTGCGAAAGGGAATGGCACACTCGGGGCGACGGATGGCCGGCGCCAAGCATGGCAGCCCAGTAGCCGCTGGTATCGGGGGCTGGGGTGGATGGGCATGCTCGAGTATCGCTGGTATCGCCTGATCATGGCTGCTTGAGCATAAGACGGCGGAGAGTGGATATCATCGGGACGCCGAATACAAGTCTTTCTCTGACGCGACAGATGACCGTGGGAGTCTCTGATTCATGTGCTCTGTCATTAGGGGAATGATGCATGCGTTCAACTATGGGTTATACAGTACAGTACGGATCTACGAGATGCTTGGCAGATACTAAGATAGATAATCACCAGGTAGGGTGGTCAAAGACTAGGACGACATCGTCCTCATCATCGCTGTCGGTTTCAATGTCGTCGTCGTCGTCACCCTCCGAGTCGTCCTCAATTTGCGGCTTCTATGCATAGCGCGTCAGCCAGCAGCGGCTTGTGAAGAAGTCGCAGTCACGTACCTGTTCTTGGTTTAGATAACCATATGCGAACTGATAATCATCATCTCCTCTCGAGTTATTCGAACACCAGGAGCCTCCTTGTTCCCCAACAGACAGACCCGACATGCTCTGGTAGAAGCCCATCGCCAGCTTGAGCGAGACTAACCTCCGCCCCTGAATGTTGTCATTGTATTTGGAATGAAGTCGAAAGTCTGCCGGAGAGGAAGTAGGGGTAAAGGTGGGTGAAGATGAGAGAGATGGGGAAAGGGACGGGGCAGAGATGGCCGATATTGGGATGCCCTCGAAATGTGTAACGGAGCGCTTGCGTTTTCCGGCAAGCGAGGGCTTGAAGAGCGAGCTCAAAGTCATCGACTGCTACATAGTATCTCAGTAATCTGTACAATGCCCAAAGTCCGCCACTTACCACCGCGGTTCCAGGCGCTGATCTTTGTCGACATTCCGACAAGAGGAATCTGGCAACCTTGATCAAAACTGGTCGGGATGTTTGAATGGCAGCCAGAACGTGGCCAAGCTGGCTGTCAGTGTCCATTGCATGTCCGGAAGGTTCCCCGCAGCCTTGGCTTGCAGAAGTGGCGGCAGGGAATGATTCGCGGAGCATTCCAATGTTTCAGCGGGCTCGCGAAAGGTTGGCGGTAGAGTATACTGGAGTGGCAAGATCCAAAGAAGGAATACCGGGACAAAGATGAAGAGACACAAAGGCCGCTTTATACAAGTACACAGCGGAATGCCTTCAGCAATCACTCGCTCGTCCATCAGACCATTCACAGCCTCGTCAGCGTTAGTGTGCGTTTCCGCCCCGTGCCGGTGTGTGTCAGTGAAGGAAGTGGATCGGAAGGGAAAGTCGAAAAAGGAGTCCAATTGATGGCGGGGGTGATGCAAGACGGGTCAAGACGACTGAGAGCGAGTTGGATGCAAGAAAGCCATATCGAGACGCGTGGACGTGATTTGGACGTTTTCTCCGAATAATAATCAGAGTTCGGCGCAAAACCCTAACGCAGCAACGTTTCCCTGCCGTGTCCTACCGACTGCAACTCTATTTCATCTCTCTTCTCCTCCCATCCAGGTGCATGCCACACCCCCACACCGACTCCTCTATTCCTCTCCCCGCCACAGACGACTCCCCCTTCATATCCCTCGGCGTCCGCCACAGAAGCAAGCCTTCCTCTGCCACTACGCCTTCCCCCAAACGATCATCCTCCAGCATGTTCAATGCCAGAAAATATACCCCGCTGCCGACCAGCTCCAATGGGCCCGTGAGAAAGAGGACCGGCGCCGGGCTCGTGGCGTGGAAAAGATGGGCGCTGCTCGCCACTGTCGTTCTGATTGTTCTTGGCCTCAGTTTCAGACAGTACGGTGGCCAAGAAGAGGCAGTGTACAATGAGGATAGTGAGTGAGACTGTTGATCTCTAGCAGCACTGGCTGATCATTCTATAGACACCTACACGCCGTCTCTCGATGACACTACCGACGAGACCGAGGCGATCGACTACAGCTCGCCTCCCTTCCGACCTGAAGACTCTGACATTGCTGCTCCTCACGGCGACGACGAGTCAAAAGAAGAAGACGGATCTCTCCACATCCTTCCCATTGGCGACACTACCAACGAGGACTCTGCCAACCCCCACGACCCCACCTCCTCCGAGGCTGAGACTGCTGCAGAGGCCGACGCAGACTTTACCGAGATTACCGACGAGACCTCTGGCACCGACGTACAGTCCAACCTCCCGTCTTCTTTCGAGGAGGACGAGAACCCCGAGTCTACGACTGCCTGTACTGAGCCCTACGGCGACAAGCCTTTGGTCCAGTACGCCTTGACCATCGATGCTGGTTCTACCGGTTCTCGTATCCACGTCTACAAGTTCCACAACTGCGGTCCTTCTCCCCAGCTCGAGTACGAGACTTTCAAGATGCTCAACCCTGGTCTTTCTGCCTTTGCTCGTGACCCCACTGCTGCCGCTGCTTCCCTCGACCCTCTTCTTGAAGAGGCTTACAGAGTCGTCCCCGAGAGCTTGAGGAAATGTACTCCTGTAGAAGTCAAGGCTACTGCTGGTCTGCGTCTTTTGGGTCAACAGGAGAGCGTTGCCATCCTTGATGAGGTGAGGAACAGGCTCGAAACCAATTGGGACTTTACTGTGCATGGCGAGACCGCTGTCGAGATCATGGACGGCAAGGACGAAGGTGAGTTGCTTGCTACATTTGAGTACTACAACTGACAAGTATCAGGCGTCTATGCTTGGATCACCGCCAACTACCTTCTCAACAAGATTGGAGAAGGCGCTACCTCTGATGACACTCTCGCCGTCATGGACCTAGGGGGTGCTTCCACCCAAATCGTATTCGAGCCCAAGTTCCCCGCCGACTCTGACCAAGCCCTTGTCGAAGGCGAGCACAAGTACGAGCTCAACTTTGGTGGCAAGGATTTCACTCTTTACCAACACTCTTACCTCGGCTACGGCTTGATGCGCGCCAGGAGGAGTGTGCACAACCTTGTGGCCTTTACTTGGAGCTTTGGACAGGGTGAAGTCCAGTGGGATGAGCTGAGCGAGGAGGTCGAGGTGCCCAACCCTTGTCTGTCTAGGGGCATGACTAGAAGAGTCTCGCTTGACCCTCCCGGCAGGTCTCCTGTCAATGTCACCATGCACGGTGCTGTTGGTGGGTACGAGGCTTGCAACAGGGTCGTCGAACTGGTCATGGCCAAGGACGCGTGAGTGCAATGACTATCAAAAGGAGCATAGCTAACGTTGCCGTAGCATCTGTGAGGTCAAGCCCTGCTCTTTCAACGGTGTCTACCAGCCGTCCCTCCTCGACACCTTCCCCCGAGGCCAGCTCCTCGCCCTCTCCTACTTTACCGACCGTATCAAGCCCCTCCTTCCCGCCAACGCCCCCGGCCTCCTCTCCATCTCTGAACTCACCTCCATCGCCAAGGATGTCTGTGCCGGGCCTGATGCCTGGGCCGAACGATGGGGCAACAACCCCACTGCAATGGACGAGTTGAAGGACAGGCCCGAGTACTGCCTCGACCTGACATTCATGAACGCCTTGCTCGGGCTCGGGTACGAGCTCAGCCCGGCGAGAGAGTTGATGGTGGAGAAGAAGCTGAAGGGTGTCGAGCTCGGATGGGCTCTTGGTGCTGGTTTGGCGCTTGTGGGTAAGGCCGAGTTGACCTGTACTGCCTGAGCGGCGTAGGATAGAGCTCGTTTGGATTTCAAGCCCCTTTTGTAGTCACATTCATGAGATCTTTGCAAAGATCTCTATACAATCATTACTAGAACTGTCTTTTTTGGTTCCCCGGATACATATCGTAGATCAGTATGCACCACTATCATTTAGTCTGATATTCTGCTGGACTCGTAATCTGGCAGAGTGGTAAATCACAATCTCGATACATCCGTAGGGAAGAAGCAATACAATCTATCTATTTTTGTACACATGATCTCCTTTCCAGCTGACTCCAAACATCTACAATTACAAAGGAGGTCCAGGAAACGGATCGCCAAGCGTTCTCAGATCATAGGCATGTTGCTAGAAAGTATCACGCTATAGCTATATCCGTTGAGTCCTCTTTCCCAAAGCATCTTCTTCCCCGCTCATCTTTCGGCCGTCACCAGCACCCGCCGAAACTGGACTAGGCAGACTGATGCCATGACCTGACATCTCATCTAGCCCATCAAAGCCTTCCATTCCCCAAGACGTTGTCGGGTGTTTTGGCGCAGGCGACGGACCATCTTCTTCGCCTCCAGGCATGGAAACGTTGTTGCCCAATGGCCAGACGAACTCTACTCCATTCCCGTCATCCCTTCCCTCTCCAATCGCACTAGCGCTGCTACTCCCACCTCCATGACCATGCCTGGCAGCACCCACCCCGCCAAAGATGTCGTCCAACAGACTCTTTTCATCCAGTGGCACACCGAGCTCCTGCAACTGTTGCCTTTGCTTTTCCAAAAGCAACCTCTGCTGACGCTGATGACTTTGCTGCAACTGGAACTCGGCATACTTGGCAAGCAAGCTTTGATCCCAGTGTATGGGCGCACCATTGGGGCCCATTGTTACTTGTCCGGGCTGAGGTGAAAAGTTGGGTGGTTGCCCGGGGAACTGGATCCCGGGGGAGGTCTGGGGATATGGCGAGGGATAATAGGGCGCTGAGGGTGGAGGCTGAAAGGAAGATCGCGGCATGTATAACCCATACGAAGGCGCATAGTAACGGCTGCCGTGCGCGCCGTCTCCTTGGGTGGTGAAGGAAGACATGCCTGGCAAGCCAGGTGTCTGCACTTGCGCTGATGTGGGAGTGCTTGACATCCTGTGGGGCATGGTATCTGACGATAGACGGGGCGCTTGGGGCACAGCAAGAGGGGTATGAGAGGCAAGATATGAGTCGGTCTGTTGGGGTGGGGGAGGACGCAGTCGAGACCGTTCAGATGCCGCGTCGGGCGCTGAGGCGTGCATACTGAGAGCGTACTGCAAGCCTTCAAGAGATTTGTTGTGTGACTGGGCATTCCCTTGTCAGTCGGGAGTTGGATAGCAGTGTATACCACTTACAACAGCAGACCTCTCGCTCTCTTCCCTGGCATGGGGGTCTTTTCTCGAGGAGTAGCCCTGTGATTCCCCATTCCGGCGTCTGGACCTTTTGTCGTCCTCTTCCGTTTCGCTGCTCTCACTAACGATCCCATCGATGAAGCCTTTTCTGTCCCCTCCCTTGTCTCTCTTCCTCTTCTCTCGCTCTCTCTCTCTGCCCCTGCCCTCGCCTCTTGACGACTGAGCACGGACGGTCCGGGGTTTGAAAACCTCTTTGCCCTTGAGGCTTCGGGTAGGGGCGGGCTGTCCGTTGGGTCCAACTTTCGCTTTCGAGCCCGCTCCCCGGCGAGGATTCTCATCGTCGTCGTCGTCGTCGTCTTCACCGGCCAGAGCCATCGCTGCAAATTCGGCGGCTCGTCGGCGTTCAATCATGCCCTCATACTAGTCCACACCGTCAGCCGGCCGTCAGATGGATACCGATCGGTGCTCACTTCATAGTAGCGCTCGATCTGTTCATCCAGTTCCTTGCTCGAGAATTCGTACGCCTTGCCAACAGCAGAGAAGATGACGATAGACACATCGGCTGCGCATAGAACTGACAGTTCCCACGCCTTCTTCATCAGGCCAGCCTTCCGCTGTGGAATTGGTCGTCAGCACTGATACTGCTCGAGCACGATAGTGCCGCAGAGTAAGACGAGAGGAGACACGAACCTTGAGGAATGTGACGTTCCTGTTGCGTTCATCCTATATACGAAGGCGCGTTCAGCAGACGGTCTTGGTATGTCGAGGCGACTTCGAATGCATTTGACTCACAGTGAGGGGACGAATTTCAATCTTCTTTCGGCCCATGTTGTTCGGATATAGCTGTTAATTGAAAAAAGCTTGACGAATTGGGAAGGCGGGGGAGACTAAATAGGGGGGATATGCGCGATGCTGGACAGCTCGGGGAGGTCTGTTGTGCTTGTGCTTGCTTGGCTTCTGGAGTATAGGGCGTTCTCCTTTATGGGTGCCGGTTCCGTGGCCGGCAGCTGGATCTGGACACCTTTGGGCGCTGGTTGGAGTACGGGTGGGGGTGGGAATGGAAGAGACAAATGAGCGCGGCCTCCTCTCTTCCAGCCAAAACAACCCGTGAGCCTTTGCGGGGAGCGAGGCGGTGATTGAGGCGGCCATCCCCGCCGCAGACCCTTCAAATTGCCATTACAAAACACACTAATCCGCCAAAGCCGAGATCTAATACAAAATAGCCTGCAATCACAGCCAATACCCATTTCGTAACAGAGGGTGGGTTGTAACCCCTCGGCAGCGTCCGCAGGCGTCGCTCAAACTCTCATCTTTGGGCTCGCTCTCACGTTCTCACCTTCTGTATGTACAGCTACGGAAAGTTGTGGCAAGTCTCTGATCCAGAGACGACATGACGGTATGCTTATGATAGATTGGGGTTCGTACGGCGTTGGCGTGACATTGAGCTTCTCAACTCGGTCAATGAGAATGTAGAAGATAGACAGCACGAGCACAGTGTACTCGAGCACCGTGAGTTAATAATAGACCTCATAGGCAGATATCGGCATCCTCGAGTAGGATGGGAACCGTATGCCTACTTGCATAGATGCAAAGCGTTCCAAGCCCATGTATAGCACAGAGTGCATCATGCCAGCACGAGATAGTGATAGCTGGATATACGCTCAAGGAGACTTGCCATCATCTGTAGCAAGGCGGTGCGAGCCCACTTGGCCAATCGAGTACCTATAAAACCGTTACGCACAGCTGTCTCAAACCCCGACGGTGGAAATGGTTCCTCACAAAGGATCGTGACGCCCCTCAATCACTGACCTCCCGAGCGTAAGCAGAAGAGTAGTGTATGTACATGCATTGATGAGTGTACAGATGATGCGGTCGATGCTGACACTTGCTTTTGCTTGCTCTTGCGGTATTGGGGCTCTATTCTGCCTTCTTGGCAAGTGGTACGTTCTCCCATCCTTGAGACTTTTGGATAACGTCCTCTGGAGCATCGGGGACGGCGTGGCCCATGTCGTTCCTTCTCGCGCTGGAATGGTTGTTAGTTTTCGGTTACACGATCAAGATAGAAACTGACCGGAAGAAGGTATAGTTGAGTACCACATCGTCAACGTTATCGAGGGCAGGCTCGTCCACGAGATCACGGTCGATGAAAAAGAACACTGGAAGATCGACTTCCTCCCCGGCTCTGATTTTCTGTTCTTCGAAACAGAAACACTCGACTTTGGCAAAGTAGGGAGCAAGCTAATTTTATGATGAGCAAGAGCTCCTTGGAAGAGATGCGCGACTGACCTTCTCGGGTGTGATATTATAAGTGGCGATACCAATAAGGTCCTTATCTCCATAGTTCTTTGCTTTGTAGAACGCCAACGCCGTCTCTCCAGGCAGCACCTTGACACTCTTCGTCACTGGCTCAAACTTCCAAGACAGAGCCTCGGCGGACTGGCATTGGAAATGCACAGTGATACGCTTGCGGTCGGCAGTCTCGGGGGTAACGTACAGTCGGTCCGGGGTGAATCGGGACGAGTCTGTCATGGGGGTTCCTCCGAAACCTGTGGCACCACAGAACGCGCGGTAGAGAGGGACAGCGGCGTAGGTGACGCCGATGGCGATGATGACCTGCTACACGTCAGTACAAGTCATCGATGCGCCACGATATGGACACGTACGGTACCAAAAGTGTAGAGCATGACACTTCTACTCTTCTTTGCTCTCTCCTTGTACATCTCGGCTCGCGCGGCTTCCATCGCCCGACGAGCCTCTTCGGCGGTCACTCTGGGTTTGGGCGGTTGGGTCGAGTATGGTTTTAATGATCGTAGTATTGGTGATGTTGTTACTATTCTGGGGGAGGCTCTTGAGAGTGACGGAGCACATGGGAACTATTAAGGAAAAGATATGAGCTTATGTGTCTTGATGCAGGAAGATACTCACGAGCGATCTAAAAGCCCGAGGGGCGTTTCTAGCTAATGATGCCATAATACCTTGAGAGCGATAAATGTCTGGATACTGTTTGTGACGGGTTAAGTACAGCTTTTTCGTAGTACCAAGCTCGCTGTCGTGGGTGTGGAAGATGGCTTGTCAATCGTTAGACCACGTCCGATGAAAATACAAGGTACACAAGTCGAATCTTTTGCGGCCTGCTCCGGAATCCGAATCCCTCGGCCGCCGACCAGGTATTGCGTTCGTCGCTCTCTGCCATCATGCCATGGATCAGTACATTCGGATTCAACTTCCAGTGCGTATATATATACTCGCGCTCAGCTTACAGAGAGAAAGAGTGGATGCATTATCGAAGCGGACGACCAGGCACTACTGCATTCGACATGTACGGAGTTTTGAACCTGATCCGTCGCCATACATATACTCACATGGGAGAAAGAGGGCATGGTTCCATGCGAGTGAGCAAGGAACATTCAGCGCGAAAAGTATAGATCGTATACAAATGCATGACCTTGCACGTTCATAATGTCAACTTCCAACCATTCTCTCCCATCTAATCCTTCTCTCCGACCCTGATCAGCCACTCATCCCTCTCCTGCTCATCCATCTGCCTGAACCTCCCTTCTTGCCCATCCTTGTGCACCTCTTCTGAAGATACCGATGAGATTCCGATCTCGATTTCGCTCGCCTTAAAGTCGGTAGCGCAGACGGAAGAAAGACATTCGATGGCCATCTCGATGACGCCAGTACGGTCAAGATCCTTGTCCTTCTTTTCAGATTCCAAAGTCTTCCAGCGCTTCTCAAGCTGTATCTGCACGTCAGACAAGAGTTTTAACAGAGTGAGAGGAACGCACGTAGTTGGCGGATTCAGTTTGCTTCTGCCCCGAAGATGTCGCCTTGTATCCAGTGAAATATCCCGCCGGATCAAGCTTGAACAGTTGGGGTCCTCTCTCGTCGTCTTGTCCGATCAGAATCATAGCTGTGAGGCGGAAAGTCAGCTCTGCGACTCAAGGTCGGAAGAGTGGGACGTACAGATACCCATGGGCCGCATACCCGCACGCTGAGTGTAGACCTGGTTGATGTTGGCCATACGCTTAGCGACTATATACCTTCCGTCAGCTCTTGTGCATAGTCGGGGGAAAGGGCAAGGGGGCTAGACGCACGCGCTTCTGGGGTGATCTCGTAACCGTACTTGTATCTGAACTGAGCGGCCTCGGATCTTGTTCGCTGAACCTGTGCTCGGGCGTCGGCTATATAAACGCATCAGTACCCCATCAAGACTGAAGGTTCGGGGACAGGACGCACCGATCAGTCCGGTCATGACACAACCGATAGTGGGGGTGATTTGGAAGAGGTGGGTGATGGTTTCGGGATCGAGGAGCTTGTCCTATCATCAAGTGTGATTAGTTGTCTGTCTGTGGTAATCTCGAAAGGGCAAACATACGGGGACTTTCCGTTGGGTGATGACTACAGAGGTGTCCTTGCCTCGAATAGCGACGGCGGTGATACCAGCAGAAGAGATGGCTTTGAAGGCATACTCTACAGATACGAGTTAGACAGTACTAGAATTAAAGTTAGGAGTTGACTTACCGACTTGGTATAGCTATAGCATTGACAAGATCACTGGTCAGCTTCCATACACCAGTTCCGACATATCGCAGCCACATACCCTTCCTTCAGGCGAGAAGATGGTGAGATATCTGCAGCTCCTGTCAGCCTCTTCTCCCTTGCACCCTCTCCTCTGACCTACCTATCATAAGACGACCTGGACATGGTGTGTGGTGGATGGACTCTCTCCATTCCATCCAACACCTCATCGACGACGCGCGGTCTGGCTCTCGAGCGGACACCGCCGCCCCCCCTCCCAATTCTTGCCCCGCTGTTTTCGCGTTTTCTCCCCGGTACAGTTACGTAAGCCTCGGAGTGGCCGTGACTGTGCCCGACCTGGCGCAGCGTTTCGTGGTGGACGTGGTCATCTATTGTTCGGTTGCCATCTACTATACCAGCATAAACCGTCCATAATGTCTTGGTGAGTACGCCCCGTGGATGACGGAGACATATGCTGACAATATATAGGGGAGGGTACGTCTAAATCTGTCTCGGGCGACCCACATATGCCCTCATGGCCGACTGACAACTCGCAGATTCAAGAAAGCCGCTACCCGTGCGGGCACATCCATCATGCAAAAGACTGGTCAGGTAGAGAGGACTGTGGACCGAGAGTTTGCCGAAGAAGAAGCTCGCTACAAGACGTAGGTTGCTCACTTGGAGAGGGAGAACAGGGTGCCTTTGGGACTTGGCATTTGCCTTGTTGCCTTGCCCTTGGGACAGGAAATGACAAGTCGATGTGATGCTGACTTATATATTAGCATGGAAAGGGAGACCAACAATTTGCAGAAGGAGGCCAAGGCGTATCTTGACTCTATGCGCTGTACGTATGCCAAAGTGTCATATCGAGCTGTGCTGACCGACTCTTCCCAAAGCTATGGCCTCTGCTCAATCACGCATTGCCGAGACCGTTTCTCTTTTCTATTCCACCGACAGAACGAGCGATGTTTGTCAAACGCTTTTGATTGTCGAGAACGACGGACTGATAGGAGTACTTAGGGAGCCATGTCTGCTCATTCATACAAGTCTGCTGTCGACGAGCTTGATTCAGGTGTTGGTCGGGATCTCGTCAGTACTATCTCGCCTGCACCCATACCCTCGACTGACCTTTGATCAGGATTCTCCCTTCCGTGCTACTGTCCTCGACCCTATAGGAAAGCTCAACAGCTACTATCCCAACATCAACAACGCCATCACAAAGCGAAGCCACAAGGTAAGGGATTCATATATGATATCCGACGGTTGCTTATCTCCATCATGTCTAGCTCCAAGACTACGACGCTGCCCGCTCCAAAGTCAAGAAGCTCGTGGAAAAGCCTGCAGACGACAGCACCAAACTCCCCCGCGCCCAAGCCGAGCACGACGAGGCTCGTGACATCTTCAACCTCCTGAATGACAACCTCATCTCAGAGCTCCCAGTCCTTGTGGACATGCGGGTGCCGTTCTTGGATCCGTCATTCGAGGCGATGATCAGATGTCAGTTGAATTTCGCGACAGAGGGTTATGAGCGGCTTTCGGGTGTGCAACGGCAAGTTACATCATCGCCAAGTCATGACAATACTGATGTGTTGGCTGTAGATACTTTGCCGATAGCATCCGCGACGACTATGCTAACGGCGCGCTTGACACCCAGGTTGAGGGTGTGTTGGAAGAGATGAAGGAGCTGTCCATCTACGGACCTTAGACAGGGCGATCAGCGAGAAGGGAGTTAGGGGGCACTCTGTTGTACTGTAATCTGCAAATGGATGGCTATGTTTATTATCTGGACCGAGCATTGGGATCTTGAACTGGAACATGGTGCAAGTCGGCATGCGGATGGGTCTGGGGTGCGGCGATGTCCGCCGTAGCATGTAGTGAGACACGGGAATGGCTGTCTCTGTGTCATCCCCTATCTTTCACCCTTTCCTTGCCTGTCCAGATAAATCCCAAGGGGTACACTGTGTGAGTAGCCTTCTCCCCGCCCCCCTACTCCCCCGGTCAGCTCCGCCCAGCAGCCCTCCGCTCCTTCCGCATAGGCCGTGGACGCCTCTGGGATCCTGCCTGGGATACGCAAACCCGTTGGAAAAGACTCTCGCTGACTATTCATCTCCCATATCTGTCCTCACTGTACCCTCTCTCCACGCCTTCCTCGTTCCCCGCCTACGCCCCGCCCTATTACGTTCCGCCGCAACCCCCCCAGCGCGCTCACATCCCTCAGCCTGTGACCACGTCTTGGCTTGACCGTCCCAGCGATTCGCCTCCCCTCTTTGGCTGTATCCTTCTCGCATAGTTGACAGGCATCCCCGCGTCTCCTTCTTTACCGACTCTTATTTTCTCTATCCCCCAACCTTTACGTACGTATCCCGCCTTCGACTTTGTCTTTTCCTTTCCCTATCCCACTCTTCTCAGAGGCGGGCCGTCTTTCACCTGTATATCATTCATTTGATCGTTCGCTTATTTTTCCTCTTCTCTTCTTTTATCTATATCCACACACATAACTTTGCCACCTTGGTCATCGCCCACATCCTCGGTGACTGCGCCTCGGCTTGTGTTGCCCGATAATCGACATACCACCTATACCGCCCCTCATGCTCCCCGCCGACACCGATACCCAACTCCCGGTACCCATACCTGTCGCTGCCGCATCGTCCTCGCAAATACCACCGGACATTTCGATTTCACCCGGCGGCCAATCCTTCAATACCCCGGCGGCTTATCTCCCTACCAACCTCTGGTCTTCTGCTGGTAGTCCGACGTATAGCCAGATACTCTCGTCTTCTCTTGGCGCTTCATCGGAGAGTGATCCGGATATTATGAAAGTGCGTCCCATGTGTTTACTCGGATGAAACAATACTGACAAGGAACAAGCGACCTCTCGACAACGCTATGCAACCTCTTCTCGAAACCGGCCCCGCCGCCCCCCTCGACAACTTTTCCAAAAAGCCCCGCTACGACGGTAGCATCGACGCTCCCGGTCCCAACCGCTTCGCGGCCACAACAGCTACCCCCATGCAGGGGCACTTCAACCCTCACCAGATGGGTCACCAGCAGCAAGGCAACTTTGGCCAGGCGTCGCCTGCGATGGGCATGAGCATGTTGCAGCAACAAGGAGGCGCGCAGGGCAATGGCACGCCCTTCGGAGGCATGGGTATGGGTTTGGGAGGATTCGGGATGGGTTTCCCGTTCGGAATGGCCAACATGGGCATGGTGAGTCAAACAAGTTGACATTGTCCCGAGCCAATGCTGATGAGGGTGTAGCAAAACAACTTCCAGGGCCCCATCGTGTCCCCTTCGATGAACCCCAACACCATGACTGGTAACTACGGTCCAGCTGCTGCTGCCGCTGCCGCCGCCGCCGCTGGCAATAGCACAGGAAGGACCGTCTACGTCGGAAACCTCCCCGCTGAAGCTTCCGTCGACGAACTTCTCAACCTCGTCCGTTTCGGGCCTATCGAAAACGTCCGCCTCCTCCCCGAGAAATCTTGCGTCTTCATCTCTTTCCTAGACGGCTCTACCGCCGCTGCATTCCACGCCGACGCTTGCGTCAAAAAGCTCGCTCTCCATGGGCAAGAGCTCAAAATCGGATGGGGAAAGCCCAGCGTCGTGCACGCGAATGTTGCGGCGGCTGTGGCGCAAAGTCAGGCCACGAGGAATGTATTTGTGGGCAACCTGGACCCCGAGACGAATGAGCAGGATTTGAGAAACGAGTTGAGCAGATTTGGGCCGATTGATCAGGTCAAGATTGTCAGGGATAAGAACATTGGATTCATCCACTTTCTGAGTATCGCGACTGCTATCAAGGTGGTCACCACTCTGCCTACCGAGCCTATCTGGGAAGGCAAGCGGGTCAATTATGGCAAGGTGTGTACTCGGGACTTGTCTTGAACAATGCTGATGTATCCAAAGGATCGATGTGCATACGTCCCCAAGGCGCAACAAGATGCCGTCCGCCAAGCCCAAACTCAGGCCATGAATGCTATCGCCGCCCAGCACCAACAAGCCACCGGCTCTCCATTCCCCCCGTTTTCCCCAATGTCTGCGGGCTTCAACTCTTTCCCCAATCCCAACTCTGCCGCCGGTGGAGCCTTCCCTTCGCCCGTATTCCCTGGTGGCGGTGCTGGCTTTTCGCCAGTGACTCCCGGGTTCGGAGACGCGAGCCAAGTCGGCAACAGGACAGTGTATCTGGGCAACATTGCTCCTGATGTGACTGTCGAGGAGCTTTGTAACCATGTGCGCGGCGGTATGTTGCAGCACGTCAGATATTTCCCCGACAAGCACATTGCTGTGAGTTCTTTTTGGCTATGAGTTCCATCAACTGAAGTGATGTCTAGTTCATCACATTCGTCGACCCCTCCGCTGCTATGCAGTTCTACCAGAACGCCCATGCCAGCAATCTCACCATCCAACAACGCCGCCTAAAGATTGGATGGGGCAAGCCTTCTGGCCCCGTGCCCCCTGCGCTGTTACAGGCTATCCAGGCTGGTGCTAGTAGAAATGTGTACATCGGGCAGATTGCAGACTTTGAGCTGTTTACCGACGAGAAGCTGAGACAAGATTTTGGAGAGTTTGGTGGTGCGTATGCCTCGCCGAGCCACCGGCGCATTGCTGATGTGCTGCAGATATCGACATGATCAACTTTTTGGTTGATAAGGGTGTTGGATTTGTCAACTTGTATGTACTCTAACCTTTCATCTACATCCTACTGACAGCCCATAGCACTTCCATCCAGTCTGCCCAGAAGGCCATCGAAGGTATCAAGCTCAAGCCTGAATACTCTACCTTGAGAATCTCCTTTGGCAAAGACCGATGCGCCAACCCCCCAAGAACCAAGTGAGTCGTCGTCATTTGATCCCTGACATGATCTGATCAAATACAGTTTGCCCAACCGCGGCCCTGCGCCCTTTACTCCCAAGGAAGCCGACAAATCCATGCCTGCTGTTCAGCCCGAGGACGGTGCTTTAGAAGCAAACATTTACGATGACGGGGATGCTGTTCTCAGCTACGAATAGTGGCCGGCTCTGTGAGTATATGTAAAGAGAGAAAGAGCGAGGGGGTACAACTTGATTGGCGATCTTTCTATGTAATAGGAACGGGATCTAGGGTGGAAGTCTGTGTTCATATAGAGTAGAGTTTCTGATACGTATCATACATTTCTTCGATTGGCTTTGAGCATCATCTTCTCTCATCGTTCACACATGGGTATCGCCATGGCCATACCTGCCGAAACGTGCTACAGTACACTTGAGACTAGCGCTCCTGCGCCATACTTCATTACAGGCCCCCCATCCCCATAGACAGGATCGCTGTCAAACCACTTGACCTTCCTGATCTTTTCCCACGACTCTTCCCTGTCTGCTTCAGTCCCATCGCAAAAGTCCCAAGACTCTGCTCCGATGGGATACGCTCCCGTCATCTCAAAGCCGCCGAGATTCTGCAGCATCCCGTGACTGACTCCAGCAGGAACGAGCATGACATCGCCCACATGTACTTCCACCTCTACCCTTCCTTCATTCTTGCCCTCATCTGGAGGACCGCCAAAGCACAGCCTGGCCGAGCCAGCAGAGACCACCATGCACTCATGTGTGTTTGAGTGGTAGTGGGAGATCAATGACATGGGGGATCTCCAGTCCGGCTTGACAACCCCGACTGAAGAGAAGAACTCTTCTGCCTCTTCGTGCGTGAGAGTGGAGGGCAGGCAGGAGCGGTAGATGAGGAGGGGAAAGTGTTGTAGGGAGGTGTTGGGGTGCTGCCCGTACGCGGGAATCTGGTGGGCGGTCCAGGTGAGGGAAGAGAGGGGTGTGGGGTTGACCATTGTCAGCAGGCGTACACTGTTTGGCCTTGAAGATGGAGATGAGATAGAACGGTGTCCAGTTCGGGGGAGGGCGGGCCGGGGCACCGAGCATGGCCATTCAGAGTGGAGGCAGCCGCGGGGGACTTCAGGTACGCGTCGGCCATCCCCGCCATTGAACTTTTTCGAGACCCGTGTTGACAAGTGCAAGGCATTCCATCTTGTATCCCCAACCCACCCACACTATTCACAATGGCTAAGTCGATCCGATCCAAAGCCAAGATGGCCTCGCGTGCCCGAAAGAGGCAGATGTCTCACTACGCTGTTGCGGAAGCCCAGCGTACGCAGCGACTGAGCGACAAGCTCCTCGGCAAGACCGACAAGAACGGTGAGGAGATCAAGGAGGAGGACAAGGAAGAGGCCATTGAGGACGACGCTGAAATGAAGGGTATGTGATCATAAACTTTCTGGATTGTGGAGTGGAGCTCCAAAGCAAAACTTGCGACAAAATGTCAAATTGAAGGCAATGCTGATCATGCGTTTGCAGAGGAGCCCAAGAAGATATCCACCAGTGGTCTCAAGGGCAACAGGAGGGAGCAGTGGAGAGCAGCCCGAGGTCTGGCTCCTAGACCCAAGGCCAAGTTGGGGGCCAAGAAGAACTCTAGGAGACGATAAATGGAGCATATTCCGAGGCATGTTAGATGGGACGTGTTGTATGTAAGATATGTTGGTTTCTGACAGTCAACTCGTGGCGTCTTACTTGATGTGGATGGACTGGTCGTAGAAGCTGGGAAATGTGCAGGAGAATAGGTCAGACGGCTGTACAACCGAGTCCAGGTCGGGATAGATCACGCTTTGAGACGCGCGCAACATCTCTATCTTCATACACATGATGAGCTCCACCAACAGATCTACCATCTCGAGGCCGTCCAACACTCCCGCTCTGCATCCAGAGTGTCCACTTCCTGTGTACAAAGGGGAGAAACTCGCGCATTTACAATTTCAATGGGGCATAGGGTGGAGAACATATAAGAACGCGAATTGGTATGGATGATGTACAAAATGATATGCAAAAAGAGATAACGAAAAGGCGAAGAATGGATCTTTCAAATGAGAACATACAAACCATCACCACATAATGTGATCGTGATGGGGGTTGATTGTGTCTGTCTATCAACATGCGAATAAATGACTATGGACCGGGCGTGAACATGATGGTTGGAAGCAAAGAGCCGAATAGGTGGTGTGAGGAGGGGGTATAATATGTTTGTACAAGCGCCAAGCGTTACAGTTGAAGAAGAATGCTATCGTGACGACCCGCTCGAGCTCGCCTCATCGCCCGACACAGAGCCTTGACTCATACCCTCGACACTTTCCGGTACAGCGACGCCGCTCCCCCTCCTCCCCCTCTCTGAGCTGACCGTCCTCAGCGGGCCGAGGCTCGCCCCGGTCCAAGACCCAGCCCCCGGCAACAAAATCGGCCTCTGCCTTGGGGACTGCAAGATGTACGGCGAAGAAGGCATGGAAGCGCGCCGTTCCTGGCGGGCTTGCTGGGCAGGAGTGATGGCAGAGGGAGCGCGGGGCGATTCGTTTGTAGGCCCGTTCATGTTGGAAGTGGCTGGAGGAAGGTTGAGCTGGGATTGCAGAAGGGAGGCGGAAGGGAGCGAGAATGCTCCTCCCGCCATTGACTTCCATGCTCCGGGCGACACTGTAGATGGTGTATTCTCACCCAACGCCCCAAGAGACTGTCCTCCCAGCGCGCCCATACCAGGTGTACTCCCGCCAGACGCAAGGCGCCGGTGCCCGATGGGAGTCGGCGCAAACCCGCCAATATTGCTTGGCAACGAAGCCGGCGAGCTACACACCCTCGACGAAGTCCCAGAGTTGAATGGAACAGGCGTGCCCGACCCGGCCGCCGCGGAAATGTCTACCATCCCCCTGCGAACCCAGGCCGCTGGGTCCAGAGGGTTGAATTGTCCCGCGGTCGGGGCAGAAGGCGGCGGGTTCATCTGTCCTTGCATCTGCTGTTGAGCCGGCTCGGGCACATCTCCCCATCCCCCGTCTGCCACGGGCGAAAATAACAAGGCACTCGGCGGTTCCCCCTGGACGCTCCGCGTACGCACATGCTGCTGCTGCACCTTGATTGGGATTGAGAACCCGCCCGAGTTTGCTGGGGCATTTTGCGGTACGAGGCTTGTGGGAGACTTGTCGGCAGGCGCACTGGAGAGCGAGTGGGAGGGGTAGTGCGCTTGGAGTGGCTGACGAGGCAGGGGCAGAGAAGGATGAACGCGGGGAATGTCGATGCCCACACGCTTGGGGCTATCCGAGAGATGCTTAGGGATGCCTTGGTAGAAAATATCCTTTTCAGGGGTGCCGTAATCAAAGTTGACCCCAGAACCGACCACATCTTCTCCAAGCCCTTGCGCATGGCCAGATTTCCAACCATCATAAGCCCTCGGGACGCCGCCGTACCCCGCTTGCGTAGCGAAACCAAGATATTCCTTGCCAGGGTAGATGGCAGAGGGAGGTTCCTCGGCAACATCGGGCAAGAGGTTGATCTGGTAGGCGTCTGGTGGATTGCGCCACTCTTTGGCCTCACCTCCTCCAGACATGCTCTCGGAGCTTGTAGGACTCGCGCCGTCATCCCCAGAGCCCGGAAAGGCTGGGTAATTCTCCATGTTGGCGTAGGACGAGTTGTAGTTGGATCCGGGAAGGATGGGCAAGCTGCCGTGGTAGCCTGTGCCAGAAGCTGCTGGGGTAGGCCCGGTCTGCGAAAGGAGGCTGCGTTTGGCAGATTGAGAAGGGCGTGGCGGGACGCGGCGTTTGAACTGGAGGATTTCCTGCGGGGAAGAGTCTCGTGTGAGGCTGGTATGGGCTGTATGAGAAGTCGGCATGGTTCTGAATCACAAGAAATGGGCTTACACCATGTACTGGCATCCGGGTCACAGATTCCTCTTTCAACGTTGCGTAAACTCAACTTTCTGTTAAACCCATAAATCTAACCGAGTGTAAGCCTCCCATCATTTTTGTGGTGGAAACACGCACATTGAGCTGCCGGCTGAAACTCGCAAACCTGCTCTGGCGGTAGACCACAGGCAAAATCTTGTCGGCAAGTTCCTCCGGGTTTTCGATAATGATATTCTCGCCCGACTCGTCCCAGCGGATAATCTGCAGTGCGTGTCAGCGTGTGGAGCAGCAGAAGGAGAGTGGCTTACATGGCTTGTAGCTTCATCGGCCCTTGATTAAGGTTCACGTCAGCACACACCACTACACACGAGTCATTCGGCACTTACAAAAGTCTGCGTATTCAAGTCAGCATTTTTACGTTACACGCGCACAGCTAGGCAGCGAAAGGACTCACGCGTAGAGCTTTGTTAGAAAAGTCGGCTGCTTGCCTTCCGCCTTTTTGCTTCCCTTCTTCTTTCTCCCCGCGGCCGTCTTGTCGTGCTGCTGCGGCGGCTCCTCCTCTTCGCTAGATCTCGTATACCCCTGTGGTTGTGTTTGATGGTGAGGCGGCAGCATGTCGTTGTATTGATACGAATCACGATCCAAGTCGCCCCCTATATCTCCCGAAGGCCCCGGAGGTTGGTCGTACGAGGCAGAGGCGTGGTGGTGCGGCAACGGCCTGCGCTGGTGCACGATAGGCGGGCCGAGGGGGTACGAGCTGTACGAGTCTGGCACTGGCACTGTCCGGGGCTGATCCCAGTTCCATCCATCGCCTGCTGCGGCTGGTGGTGCAGAGGAGTAAGTATCAGGGGACGACTGGGGCAGCGTCTGCCGCCGGTATGGCGGGTGCTGGTCGGCGTGTACGGGCGAATAGTGGGAGGCGAAGGACTGGGACTGGGGGAGGGCGGGGTAGCCAAAGGGCGAGTGTGGTGGTTCAGGAGGATAGGCGGCTTGGTGGTGGGCGGGGAGGTCGTAGCCGCGGGGGGTGTAAGGGTTGTTCATCGATACTTTTCGGCGTATACTTTTTGGGTGGGGGATGTGTGGCGGATGGGGATTATAAGGAAGAGTATGGAGAAGCCAAAGGCGGAGCTGACTTGAAGCGGGAAGAGGGTGCAGGCTTGGGCAGAGTACGACGCTCTGGAACGGAGCTAGTGGGGCAGCTCTAACCTCGGTAGTCACCGGGGCGATGGAGGGCGTAAGTAGGGGGTGGGATGTCAAGAAGAGAAGAAGAAGAGAAGAGAAGAGAAAGAGAAAGAGATAGAAAGGACGGGGGAGGGATAGGATTGGGGGGTGAAAGGAGGAGGAGAAGGGAGAGGCAGCCGCGGGACCAAACATGCCATGGTGGCAAGGGAGAACAATGCCCGTTTCATCTCCATCTACCTCGCGAGAAGCACGCATTGCGCACAGACACGCTGATCATTCCGAATACTGGGTGGGGGGGCGCAGATAACCTTACATTAGCCTCATCCGGCTAAATTCCCGGACCATGCATCAGATCGCAGCTCCGGCCTTCGAGAAGGGGCGCATGTCTGTGCACACACCGATCACCGATCAGATCCCTGGCCTTCACCGTCCATTGCATGGGGGAAGGAGATAAACAGCAATCCAAGGTTGAGTGACGCCGAGTGGTGTGGCGCACATCTCCCTCGCATCAGCCACTGTCGTCAGCCACCCCGCCACGTGAATCGCAGTGGTGCATGCACAGTACAGATGCTAGTCGAGTCCAATCTGCCGGCTCACCTCATCCTCTATCGAATTGTCCATCAACAGGCTCTGCATCGTCAGCAACGTCCATCCCACGTGTAGACCCACCTCTGGCCGGAAAGCCCACGTGTCGAATACCTCCACAATCCGCGCCCACTCTTCCACATCCAGCTGCTTGACCACCCTCTTTCTGCTCACAGGGATCCCCATTCCCTCATCCTGCTCGATGAGCGGCAATAGACTATCCGCCCCGAACGCGAGGTTCCCAATAGACTCTTCCACGGTGCACGATTCGCGCACAAACATTCGCCGGAGCACGAAATCCCATGCGTCCCTCCGGTGCATCGAGATGGGCGAGTTGAGTTTAGGCGTCAGCAGCACCCCAAACAAGGGCGTACGCGGCAACACCGCCTTGCTGCTGGTGTACGCTCCAGGGAAAAAGTCGGCTGTGTACGTCTCGGTTCGCTCTGCACCAAAGGTCGCCTCCGGGTAACCTTCAGCCGGCGGGATATCTTCTGGGATCCCGACGGGTGTGGCCGTGGACTTGGGCTCCTTGACGGGTTGGATAGGGACGTCGCTCTTGGCCATATTGCGCTTGTCAATGTTGCGGATGTGGTGGTACGGCGGCAGCGGCGTGACATGGAACAGGGCGCGGGTCATGACGCTCATCTTGCTGTTCATCCGTTCAAGCGCCGTCGTCGTCAAACGCTGCGATCTTTCGTCAGCACAAAAGTCATTAGCCGGCAAGGGACTCACTTCATAGACATTTCGTCCACAGAGCAGTGCCAGCCGCACCCTTCCCCACTTCCACATCCACGCCCGTTTCTGATTGTCCCCCACCACTGACCGGATCCACTGCGTCGTAATCTGCTCGCCCAGCATCCCATCTGGCGCCTGGAGTACCACCGTTATATGCGGTGTCGGTGCGTTCCACGGCCGTTTCGCTTGGTCCTCTTCGGCAGCCGACGGGTCCCACACTGGGAGGTGCTGACGCACCAGAGGGTTGGACAGCAGTGCGGGGACCGTGTCCCAGGAATACAGCGTCGCGTGTGATAGCAGCAGGTTGTCTTGGTGTTTGGATGGCGCCACATTGTAGCCCATATACCCCTCTGCCTGGAGCTGTGGGCTCGCCGCAGGCAGAGGATAGTCTAGCCCCCGTCTCAGAATTTCGTACGAGCTCTCTGTCGACATGACCAGCTTTGGTTTCGGCGTTGGCTCTCCTTTCGGCTCTTTCAGCCCCGCGGTAGCAGGCAGGTCGTCTTTCCATATAGGATAGTCGTCCGAAGGGTTCCTCGCCGTCGAATTTTTACTCCCTACAGCCTTCTTCCCCTCCAGCCCTTGCTCCCTCTCCCAAGCTTTCCCTTCTTCTACACTCCTCCCCCCACTGACCAGACTCCGCGTCAGTGCCCCCGGGCCAGCATACCCCTCGATAATGACTTCCCCCGGACGTATCCCAAGGGCGCGCACGAATTCGTCGCAGAGCTTGGGCGAAGCGAGAAGCAAGCGATGCGGGGCTTTGCGGAGGTTGTTGACTTTTGGAGGATGGGCGAGGGCAGAGGTGGGAAAGTGGTGGGCCCACTTGGCGGAGGGCGGGAGGGGGGGCAGGCGGGGCATCTATGGTGTGTTTCCTTTGTCTAGCAGCAAAAAGTCGAAAGAGTTTAGACGTCGCTCTTCCGAAAAGTGGAGGCCGAAACTGAGATCGGGCAGCCCAGACACGTATGGGCTGGGCCACCCAGCGTAAAGAGGGGAATGAATAATGTCTGTCGCGAAAACGCGCTCATGTTGGACGCGTTTTGACCCTGAATTCGTTCTTTCATCTCAACTCACAAACCACCATGGTATGTCCCCCCTGCCCCTCCGTCCCCCGCTCACCCCTCCCAGGAAGAAGGCAGAATCTGGTCCGTCGGCGTCCTCGAAGGCGCCCAAAACCAAAACTCCCCCTCCGAGCTCGAAAAACTCTTCTACGAATTCCTCCAGGGCTTCCGTATCGACGGCAACTGGATATACCGCGATGCCCTCAGATCCGCCCTCTTGCTCAAGCACCACACCCTGGAGGTTGATCTGCGCGATCTGGTGGCGTGGAATGAGGAGATGGCGCAAAAGGTG